TATTTTCAATATGAAATTGTGAAGTTAATAATATGCGTTAATGAACAACCTTATTTATGTGCATGTTTGGTATTTAAAGCATATTTGTTGATTTATTGCCTTCTTATATATCTTTACAATTAACAATTAATAAATAATATCAAGATATTGAAACAAGCACAGATATATAAACAACTTAAATTTAGCTCCATGAAACAAGTAATATCATGCAACCAAATTTAATACGTGAGTGTATACTTATGAATGTATGTGCATTTATTGATATTTTATCTCAACTACTTGAACCAAAGAAGGACATATATTTTATAGCTTCCTACACAATCAAACTAAAATAAATTCTGTATAAACCAAAGAAAGACAAAATACCTTTTTCCAATAAATAATGTTTTTAATAGGGAACATTTGCATAAGACTTAACAGAAAAAGTGAAGAAATAGAAACAAACTACATGTACCAGTGCACATTTTGTTGTTTTTCTTTTATAATTATCGGATGAATTGACTCAACCCACTTTGACAAATTATAAAACCTACAGTTTTAAGGTTTTCTTACATGTTTTCTTACAAACCCCTATTTTTAATTGAATGACAAATAAGAAATAGAGTAACTTTTTTTTGATTTTGCATATAGATTAAGAAAACCAAATTAAATATTTTTAGACATAAACTTACAAAACTTAACTTTCATTATGATTTACATATGATTTTATAATTTCTGATATGTTGAAACACTTTTTTTATCTAAATAAACATTATCTGTGCTATAAATTGACATTACGCCAGAGAAGAGATTGCTCCGCCCACTGATTCACGTGACCCGGTCATTCAGAACCTTAGACAAAAGACGGTACCGACGTTTACGCGAAACTGTCATGCCACTTAAGTGACTAATGAATTTACCTTATATCATTTGGTTATATATAAAATTTTAATGCTTTTATTGAATAGTTCAATGTATTATGGTATTTAAAAAGGTATTCACGCATTAATGATGAATAAAACGTTTTGGTAAAAGATCTTGTTATATTTTTTGCTGACATCAAGGGAAGATGTTACTGACAAAATATCATTTTAGTTTACAAATTCAAAGATAGTGAAAATTGATGTAGTGGAACATATAATAGTAAAATTATATCAATGAAACAGTAAGATTTACAAATGTTTTTGGGGTTTTATGTGCGAAATCACTTATATATAATGCATTTGCGCATAAATTGTCAAAATTAAATGTGAAAATTGCCCATGCGTAACTTTGTTGTATGATATATGATTATATGTTTATTTGTACATTAGATATTTTCGTGATAAAACGCAATATTATTCACTTCAAAATAAATTTCACATATACCAGACCTCAACTTTAAATTAAAATCGTGATCAGATATGATGTTATTGAAGCAGATGTATTTAAATATTTAATCTTTATTCATTGAGCTTTAATAGAAATAATTTGGTAGGATAATTTCACCTGAAATATTTATTGCATATTTTTTTCATTTTATTTGCAAGTACTTTTTTTCTACTGCAGCATTTTATTGACACTATGTTATAAACGAACAAAAAATGTCATATCATCTGGATATCCTGAGACCTTATAATATTATGTGATTATGAAAAGACATAATTGTAATGAAGGAAGGAATAGAGTATTTGTTAAAACTTTTTTCTTGTTTAATGCAATGTGGTATAGCCAGTTTTAACTTTCCTACCTGCTATATAACTTATTATCTTCATATATAGAAAGTTACTGATTTTTTGGGGTTTTTTTTGTAAAATGAACTAACTAACTCCCTCTGTCAATATGTCAGGATATTTTGTAACTTAGATATACCGTTTTAATAGCTTTAAATTGACAAAAAAATCAAAATTTCAATATAAATACTGCTGCACCATTGTCTAAGGAAAATGGCGGTTGTCACACTATCAAGGTCATCATATAGTTACATGTATATTATTTTGCAAGCTAGAATGAACACGACAGGTCACCCAGACAGTTCACCTCATTGGGACATTGTACAATGAGACGTCTGTCTACAGGAACTAATTAAAGTCACCATCCCATAATCAATGACCAGGTCAGGCTCTTAAAAACCCATTTAGAGTTCTTATCTTTTATTGTCCAAATTTTATGTCTTGGCAATTAAAAATTCTGGCCGGTCAAGTTTTGGCAAACCTTCAAAAGTGAAGTGGTCATCATAGTCATGCAACTATGACTTGCCCACGTGACGGACTGGTTCCTCACATTTTTAAATCATTTCTTATATTTAATTGAAGCACTCGTAAGGGACGGGATCCAAACTCCCCTTTGGACATTTCCGATACGTATATACCTAATGTCACAAGCCCGCAACGGCAGTCCGACTCTTTATTTCGATCAGTGCACTTCTCGCCGTAATTTAAGCTTTCGACTTTCGAACATTGTAACATAAATAAGATAAACGCGAAGTACTACAATTGTAACATAAGAATAAAAGACTTAGGAAAATTTCTCTTGTGTTATTAATTGACTTAAACCACAATACGACACGGTCTTCTCAGACATCTTAGCATGAAACTGATAACGATCGCCTATTAGCTTATCTGTAAGACCCCTGCCAGCTTGATTGACAGGTGGCGTAATGTCAATTATACTGTAGAAATTATATAACAAGTTTGCATAAAATTGGCCGCCATATTGGACGCCATCTTGGATTGACAAGACGTATGAAGCGGAATTTTGGAAGATTTAATTTTTGTAAAGGAGACACTTTAAACATGTTATGGTGTAAGTTTCAGGTCGTTACAAAAATTTTGACCGAATGAGCTATTTATGTACGTCAAATTTATATGGCGGCCATTTTGAAAATGGCGGCCATCTTGAATGAGCAGAGATATTTTTGGGCCAACCTACGTGGTCTAAAGATGATTTCCTGAAAGTTTCATGCTTGTATCACCATTTGCACTATTTTCTCAATTTCCCGCCCCACTATTTAGGGTTCAACAGGTAGTGACATTATGCTCATATTTTCATAGTCAAGTTGACTTGAATTTACTATTATACTTCAACAGATTGACTGTTATAATGGTAATTGACCAACAGTTGATATTGGAAAAATGTTGAAGGAAAAACATAAGTCTGCCTTAAGACTATAAATTGAATGTTACAGGTAAATTCTGATGGATATTTATAGAAATTTTCTTTGGTCACAAGAGTTATTGTTCATGCCGAGTAAATTATAAAATTGAAAGTAATTATGGCAAAATGTATTTTGACTTTTACCTTTTCACTCACTACATACCCTAAGATGGGCTTAAATAAAACAAAAGGAAACCATTCAATTTCCTCAAAGGGATTTATTTGATGAAATATTCTATTGTTCAAAACAAACTTTATAAAATAATGTAATCATGCAACACCAGCTAAAATAAGTTTATATACATGTAATAATAATAATAATAATTATAAATAAAAACCAAGTTTTTTGTCTTGCATATATACACATAACAAATAGTCTCAAGCAGGGAGAACAACATGGACATAAATCATTTCCTATCTAAAACTGAGTAACTGTAAGGAATGACAAATTCTTCTTCTTCATATAAAATGTACATTCTATCCCCTTCATTAACATGTACATAAATGTTTAAAAAATACAAATATATAACTCCTTTTTTATAACTCAAAAACCAAAGACAATGTTCAAAGAAGAAAAGAAAAACTTAAAAAGCAAAGACAGTTTTCAAAGAAGAAAAGAAAAAACTTAAAAAGCAAAGACAGTTTTCAAAGAAGAAAAAAGAAATGCTTTCACTATTTGTTTAACCCTTATTCATAACAGGGCAGAGTTTAGTACAGTGGTCTATGAAGTAATATAGAATAACAAACCCTAGCTTTATCTCATATATCTAGATTTTTTGTGCCAAATATATATATTTGACATTTGAAAAATAGTTAACAAAACATAAGTTTTTCTTAATCACACACAAACACAAAAATGTTTGTAATAAAAGAATCTTTTATTATTTCTGACCTTCAAAAAGTGTCAAAAATTTTTCTGTAAAATGATATTTTTTGTAATCTAGTTTTCAGCCATTCTCAATAGATCATAAAGCATGTAAAATATGGACATCATAATTGTACATTTATGATAATTAAATGAAGTATATATATGTTTAAAAGTCATTCTATGAGAGTACTACTCAAACTTGTTTATTAAATTCTTTAACAACAGCTTATCATCCAAGAATTAACAATTAATGATATATCTATTCTGAAACAAAATTATTTGCTAAAAATAAAAGAAACAATAAAGAAAAGCCAAAAAACAGCATATTGAAAATCTTGCAGGCTTGATTTTATAACACTTGTTATTTGTTAATGAACTGTGCTAATTGTAGTGAAGTTTAACATCCATGTAACCTTCTAGCTTCCACTCAAACAGAATTTAACATTTAAACAAGAAACAGTAAAATTTCGAGTTAAGAAAGATGTATTCTGGACCCAAAGTAATTTTACCCAGTAAAATATTTAATGTTCCTGATTGGTTAATTAAAAAATCTCAGATAAGAAAACAGCCAATGACAGGACAGCCATATGACTGGTATAAAATTTTCAAATTCTATAAACAGCAGGTTTCAATGATTTATGAGCAAGCACCACTTGTCTATGATACAGCCTTACAAAAGCAGTCTGGCAACAAATATATCACAAAATAGCGTGAAAAAATATAACAAGTGGCAATATTTAATAGGAAATCATTAAAACAAAACAAAATCTTCACAAATAAAGTTACAAGAAGAGGAGAAGGAGTTCAGGATTTCCATATAAAATACATTCCGACATGTCATATACAAACGTTTTCCCCCAACACAATGTTTAATTGATATCACATGGTCGCACATATCCAAATGAGCCGCTCCAATATGAGTGTGTGTCTATTTTGTTTTGTGAACAAATAGTAAATGTACCCTTTTTTCTCTGTATCTATTTCTAAACGTTTGTAGCTTAATATCATTTATTTTCTCAATTTGTAAACTTTAATAAATAGCGCCCTCTACACTCCAGTATGTTATATACCCCGTTTAGTAACTGAGCTGAGCGACCATCCTATACTGCCTTGAACGCTGCGAAGTGGAAAGTAAGATGGAAATCGGAGGAATTATAATGATTGTCCTGGCAATTGTCAGCGACATTTATGCCATAGATTTACTTAAAGCTGATGGAAGAATTATCTATAACGGTATGTAACGTTCATTAATATACATTTTTATGTTCAATTTAAATCGAAAGTAGTAACTACATGTACTTATGAATAAGACCTAAATAATCTTATTTAATTGATGAAGACATCCTTACATGCGGTTGGAAAATGTCTGTTGATGTTAACGTATACGCTGTATGTGTACGCGTTCGTTATTAGTAGAGATTTATTATGTAGGACATGACTCAGAGGCACGTATATATTATATGCATGTACTTTCGATTTGAAAAACAATACAATATATGACTACTAGAACAAACAATATTTTCAATAAAAATGCTTACAGATAACTCCTTTATTTACTTTTGATTATAATACATATATTTAAGTAAAATGATTCATACTAAAAAAAATATCTTAAAACTGGATTGAATATATTTCACCACACTGGCAAAAAGCATAAAATAAGCTCGGTTTAAAACTCGTATAAACACGGTTAAAATTACGTTCAGGTAATTTGATGCATATTGAATTTCACCATTGAATAGATTTTACTTGAATAAAGAAATGAATAACACAAAACTTGAGTCGTTTTATTACCTTCAATGTAGGCAATAACTCCTTTACATTAAATTGTCACAAACTATTAATTATCTATAGTCTATCTTCACTTTCCAGAAAGAGGTACAAGTTTGCTTCTTTAAAAAGAAGCATGCGAGAGGTCTTTTTGCAGCTGTTGAAGATTTGTTAGTTTCGAAAATATTTGGAGAGGTTTTCCAAAACGGGCATAAAGTATGTTAATCAAACAATTTTAAGTCCCAGATTTACATTAATAATGATTGGAATAAACGTATATACTACATATATACTGCTGCATGCCTCCAACCACAATATGGCAAGAAATTCAAACTTGAGAAAAAATTGTGCCATTTTCGCCAATTGCGCCAAAAAATCAACGTTGCGTATGTTAGTCATACCAGTTCAAAAGTGAAAGTAGCAGCAAATTTTCGGTACACCGTTCACTCGGTCACTCGATAGTGCTATAATGTTCACTGTTCCTTATTTTCAGAACATGAAATAGTAAAACGCTATTCAGAAAACCAGTATCGATTTATACTGTTTAAAGGATTAAAAATGGAATGAACCATGCATTGCTCGTAGTGTTAAGTAAAGTAAATGATATTTTCCGATATTTCCTTGTACCGATATGTTCACTTCGATGTTTTTTGAGGCGGAGCATGCGCATAACATTTTTTGTAGACTGATTCTAACGTTTTAAAGCTTAAAATGCGATGCATTAGCTTCAATTTGATACGCAAAAATGAATGCCGCCAACACTGTGGAGAGGTCCCATAATTATTTTGATTAGACAAAGATCACACTGTAGTTATGACCATATAATCACACTGTAGTTGTGGCCATATAATCACACTGTAGTTGTGGCCATAAAATCACACTGTAGTTGTGATCATATAATCACACTGTAGTTATGACCATATAATCACACTGTTGTTGTGGTCATAAAATCACACTGTAGTTGTGACCATATAATCACTATATATAGTTGTGACCATATAATCACACTAGTTGTGGCCATAAAATCACACTGTAGTTGTGACCATATAATCAGACTGCAGTTGTGTCCATATAATCAAACTGAAGTTGTGACCATATAATCACACTGTAGATGTGTCCATCTATTCACACTATAGTTGTGACCATATACTCAAACTGTAGCTCTGTCCATATAATCAAACTGTAGTTGCGTCCATATAATCAAACCGTAGCTGTGTCCATCTAATCACACTGTAGTTGTGACCATATAATCACACTCTAGTTGTGGCCATATAATCACAATATAGTTGTGATCATATAATCACACTGTAGTTGTGACCATAAAATCACACTGTAGTTGTGACCATATAATCACACTGTAGTTGTGTCCATATAATCACACTATAGTTGTGACCATATACTCACACTGTAGCTGTGTCCATATAATCACACTGTATCTGTGTCCATCTAATCACACTGTAGTTGTGACCATATAATCACACTGCAGTTATTTAAAGCTATTTGCGAAACCCTTTTATAATTTAAAAAATCTGAACAGCTGACCGTTTTCAGAGATATCCTAAGTTAAGTAATTGATTAACTTAAATAATCACAAGGAACATTATGTCATTGTAGTCGCACAAATAGACTTTTCACTTTTTTGAAGCATAAAATAATTCAATGTTTTTTGTTTTTTTTTGGTTCCCATCTTTTGTTATCTTAATTTGTCTTGCTATCAGCCTTTTTATAATGACGCAGGTCTTAAAGAACTTAACCCTTAACCTGCTGAAAGTCTTAAATGGACTTGTCCAGCTTCTATTCTTTGGAACTGTTCATTATTAATTTTTGGAAATCAAGATAAAAATTAAGTTTTGTCAGCCAACTGTAAAGAGTGCGACCAGACTGCATGGATAGAAGGCAGATCCTGCTCTATACGGGTGCCAGTGCTCAATATGGGTTGACAATGCTCAATACGGGTGACAAATTACTGACAATGCTCTATACGGGTGACATTGCTCTATACGGGTGACAATGCTCTATATGGGTGACAATGCTCTATACAGGTGGCAAAACGGGCGACAATGCTCTATACGAGTGCCAATGGTCTATACGGGTGGCAATACGTATGATAATGCTATATACGAGTGCCAATGGTCTATACGGGTGGCAATGGTCTATACGGATGGCAATGGTCTATACGGGTGGCAATGGTCTATACGGGTGGCAGTGGTCTATACGGGTGGCAATGTCTATACGGGTGGCAATCCTCTATACGGGTGGCAATATGGGTGACAATGCTATATACGGGTGACAATGGTCTATAAGGTTGGCACTATACGGGTGGCAAAAATTAACCACTTCCGGTTCCAGGAAGCTAAATGTTAAAGTGTTTCTTTATAATTTTTTTTACAGATTGTCACGATGCCCTACAACATGGTAACAACAAATCTGACTTTTATATGGTGCGTTTCTACACGTCTGAGCCTTTTGAGGTATAGTGCAATTACACTGAAATTGTAAATACATGTATAGACTTATTTATCGCCATTAAAATCTTTAATATATTATAGATTTTTACGGGATACGTGTTCATATGGTAGATGAACGTACATGCACGCAGGTGAATTTGTAGTTACTTATGTATAATGGAACTTGACCCAGAATTCGTGAGAACTATACATTGACTTCTCCTTATTTGTCGTTTCCTTCCATATCAAATACCAATATTGTATGCCTGGAAAAAAACTTATTACGATTTGAAACTTACGAACAAAAGATTTTGTTTCAGTTATAAAAAAAACAACAACATATAATCAAATGATATTTTGTTTGCAGGTATATTGCCGTTTTGGTGTTAATGGTCCCGGGATTCCGATTATGACGCAGAAATTTGGTTCAGTGAACTTTGCCAGGGGTTGGCATGACTACGAATATGGGTTTGGCATACAATCAAGTGGTGATTTTTGGCTTGGACTAAGTAGGATTAAAATGTTAACAGATACCGGTAAACTGATTTTCAAATCGTGTTTCAGTAGTATGATGTTTCTGTAATAAAGTTTAATGAGCCGGGCCATGACAAAACCAACTTAATGGGTTTGGGACCAGCATGGATCTAGACCAGCCTGCGCATCCGCGCAGTCTGTTCAGGATCCATGCTGTTCGCTTTCAAACCCTATAACAAGTAGAGAAACTGATAGCAAACAGCATGGATTCTGATTAGACTGCGCAGGCTGGTCTGGATCCATGCTGGTCGCAAACCCATTATGTTGGTTTTGTCATGGCGCGGCTCATTAATGTTAATTATTGTTCTCAACATTATTTGTTTTGTTCTCCATGGCCGCCTGAATCAGGAAATGGGTCACATGGAATTGGATATGAAAAAAAGTTTTTCTTATTTCTTTTCTTCTTCTGTTTGAAAATACCAGTTTAGCAATAATTGGTTTGTTTGTTAATTTATTCGTTTGGTTGCTTCTTTTCGAAACACACTAAGAGGAAAACATGCATCCATGAAATATACAATAAAGTATGGAGGATTATACAAATTGTTAGCAATTATACGATTATACCCGCAGCAGAACTATTCAAAACTAGAAATGTGTCCATAGGACACGGATGCCCCCACACGCCACTGTTCTGTCAATCTTATGACTCTAGGTCAAATATTTTTTGGACTACAAGTGAAACTTAAAATCAACAAAGGGCCATAATTCTGTTAAATTTGGTCGCAGCAAAAATTCCTTCCTTTACTACCATCTACACATTAAGGTTGTTAATCCCTGGAAGTTTAAGCAAAATCTGCCATCCGTTTTAAGAGGAGTTGCATTCACAAAATTTCTACAAAGTATACAATGATAAAATCAACAAAGGGCCATAATTCTGTTAAATTTGGTTGCAGCAAAAATTCCTTCCTTTACTACCATCTACAAATTAAGGTTGTTCATCCCTGGAAGTTTAAGCAAAATCTGCCATCCGGTTTAAGAGGAGTTGCGTTCACAAAATTTCTACAAAGTATACAATGACAAAATCAACAAAGGGCCATAATTCTGTTAAATTTGGTTGCAGCAAAAATTCCTTCCTTTACTACCATCTACACATTAAGGTTGTTAATCCCTGGAAGTTTAAGCAAAATCTGCCATCCGTTTTAAGAGGAGTTGCATTCACAAAATTTCTACAAAGTATACAATGATAAAATCAACAAAGGGCCATAATTCTGTTAAATTTGGTCGCAGCAAAAATTCCTTCCTTTACTACCATCTACACATTAAGGTTGTTAATCCCTGGAAGTTTAAGCAAAATCTGCCATCCGGTTTAAGAGGAGTTGCGTTCACAAAATTTCTACAAAGTATACAATGATAAAATCAACAAAGGGCCATAATTCTGTTAAATTTGGTTGCAGCAAAAATTCCTTCCTTTACTACCATCTACAAATTAAGGTTGTTCATCCCTGGAAGTTTAAGCAAAATCTGCCATCCGGTTTAAGAGGAGTTGCGTTCACAAAATTTCTACAAAGTATACAATGACAAAATCAACAAAGGGCCATAATTCTGTTAAATTTGGTTGCAGCAAAAATTCCTTCCTTTACTACCATCTACACATTAAGGTTGTTAATCCCTGGAAGTTTAAGCAAAATCTGCCATCCGGTTTAAGAGGAGTTGCGTTCACAATATTTCTACAAAGTATACAATGATAAAATCAACAAAGGGCCATAATTCTTTTAAATTTGATCGCAGCAAAAATTCCTCCCTTTACTACCATCTACACATTAAGGTTATTTATCCCTGTAAGTTTAAGCAAAATCTGCCATCCGGTTTTAGAGGAGTTGCGTTCACAAAATTTCTACATAGTATCTAGTGAAAAAATCAACAAAGGGCCATAATTCTTTTAAATTTGGTCGCAGCAAAAATTCCTTCCTTTACTACCATCTACACATTAAGGTTGTTCATCCCTGTAAGTTTAAGCAAAATCTGCCATCCGGTTTTAGAGGAGTTGCGTTCACAAAATTTCTACATAGTATCTAGTGAAAAAATCAACAAAGGGCCATAATTCTGTTAAATTTGGTCGCAGCGGAAATTCCTTACTTTACTACCATCTACACATTAAGGTTGTTCATACCTGTAAGTTTAAGCAAAATCTGTCATCCGGTTTAAGAGGAGTTGCGTTCACAAGATTTTGGGACGTACGGACGGACTGACTGACGGACGGACAAGTGCAACGCTATATGCTCCCACATTGTGGGGGCATAAAAATGACTTCAAATAGTGGCTTCGCCTCGGACAATTTGTTGTTTAACATAGCAAACTGTCTTTTTACGTCTGTAAGAAGACACTGTTGAAGGAAAACTCGCACTATATTCATTACAGGCAGCACAGACAGTAACATAATTTAAACTGCTATTTGCTAGAACAATATCAGAGGACTGCCAATTTATTGTTCAGTCATCCGTCTCAGATCCCTTATTAAAATTATATGCCAGGAACGATGGTTAGGAAACTACCCGCCTATATGACTGAAATACTGTTGGAAAAGGCGTAAAATGAAACAAACAAAATACATGTATGCCTTAAACTCCATACTGTGGGGCCGGGGACAAATGACCCATAAGTCCAACAGTTATATTAACCTCTTGAGAAATAAATGATAAAGTTATGACATGTTTGTTGTTTGTTTTTAATTTTTAGGATATCAAATACTCACTTTGACTCTTAAAGACTGGACTCGTGACATACGTACCATCCGATACAATTATTTCGCATTAGGTCCTGCAAGTTTACGCTATCCATTGCACATTGGCAAATACGTCACAAGTCATGTTCTTCCAGACGATTTTGCTTTCAGCAACGGCATGCCTTTTGCAACCATTGATCGACCAGACGCAAACAAGTGTGCCTATCATCAGAAAGGCGGGTGGTGGTATAATTACTGTAGCCAGACACTACCGACCGGACACTATTACCACTACGGTCCATACATACCCGCTGGTTTTTTTTACGACGGTATATATTATAAAGACTGGAAAGGCTTTGCTTATTCGTTGAAGTATATAAGTTTAGAGTTGTACCACATTTAAACCGTTCTGCAATCCGAATGCATTTATATTGTTTTAGTATTTGCCATGTTGTTTTCCTGGAAATCGACAAACATTATCAGATCTGACTTACCGTACTTATGTTTTTAAGAATTTTTGTTTATGTAATTTTAGAATTTTAAATCTCCGGGAATGTTTGGTACCTAAATTCAACAATTGTCAAAATTCCAGGTTTCTTTTTACTTAGACCATGTTATATGATTTAATCTAATAAACCATATGCATTGATTTCGCATTTAAGTAAAGCAAATATTTGCATTAAAAGATGTATCTTTTGTTATTATTTACTTCAAATATCTGATTAAAACAAAGGGCTCAAAACTTTTTACTATTGGTGGCTCAGGGTTTGTTTTTGTTTCCCGCCTTTCTGAATAGAAATGGACTCTGTCCATCCGACTATCCGTCACGCTTTGTGTTTGGTCCATTAAACAGGCATTCATCAAGGGAATTTAAAATTTGATTTGCACAAATGGTCATCATAATAAGACGATGTGTCATGCCCAACACCCAGCCTCTCCAGACTCAAGGTCACACTTGGAGAACAAATGGTCAAACATTGTCTGATGGAGGGTATAATAACGTTTTCATCCATCAAGGTATTTTGAAATAACTTTGCACATATGTTAACAATAATACAATAATAAGACGATGTGTCATGCTCCACACTTAAACCCCTACAACTAAAAAGAAGTTTACAATTAGTAGTCAAGACTTTACACGGTCTGTTATAGGGTCTGTTTTATGTCAGGTGTACAACTTTTCATTCAAACAATTTGCACAAATATTCACCATATTAAGACAATGTTTCATGTGCAACACACAGACCCGTCCATCAAGGTTACACTAAAGAGGTCAAAGGTTAACTTGGTCTATATTTTCCTTGTCCAAAGAGTAACTAATTAAAATATTAGAGATTCCAGTGAAACTAAAATATAGATACTAGTGAGAATGCACAGCAAGAGAACCATAACTCCATCTCAATTTTCAAATTATCTCCCTGTATGTACTTAATAATATTTCCTGACACATTTCATTATATTTCTATAATGAATTTATTGTTGCATATGCAGATCTAGCAGTTATCAAGATTTTGCACTGTAAGTCTAGATCCATTCCTCAAATTTAAAATATTACTATTGTGTGCTTCTTTGGGCAGGGACGTTGATAACTCTAATACAAATTCTTGTTTATTTTAGTAATGAAGTCCTTTTAACTTGGAATACACTGCTCTGGATTTGAACCAGTGTAAATTTGTTAATAAACTGTTATACAAATTCAGCATCTTCCAGCAACATGTACAAGATAAAACACTTGAAAACAGTTTACCGAGCCCTAGTTGTCCATGGACTAACCTCTAAGACCCTTTAAGGATTTCAATATCAGAGTACAAATTTGAGCTGTCCAAAGTATGGACCCTAGTCACACTGCAGATGGTCTGGTTCCGTACTGGTGGCAGAGTCTAATCACATTTAGGGTTTAACAGGTACTCAGGTAGTGACATTATGCTCATATTTTTTGACTGTTATAATGGTAATTGACCAACAGTTGATATTAAAAAAATGTTAAAGGAAAAACATAAGTCTGCCTTAAGACTATAAATTGAATGTTACAGGTAAATTCCGATGGATATTTATAAAAAATTTCTTTGGCCACAAGAGTTATTGTTCATGCCAAGTAAATTATAAAATTGAAAGTAAATATGGCAAAATGTATTTTGACTTTTACCTTTTCACTCACTACATACCCTAAGATGGGCTTAAATAAAACAAAAAGGAAACCATTCAATTTCCTCAAAGGGATTTATTTGATGAAATATTCTATTGTTCAAAACAAACTTTATAAATAATGTTATCATGCAACACCAGCTAAAATAAGTTTATATACATGTAATAATAATAATAATAATTATAAATAAAAAACCAAGTTTTTTGTCTTGCATATATACACATAACAAAACATCTCAAGCAGGGTGAACAACAATGACATAAATCATTTCCTATCTAAAACTGAGTAACTGTAAGGAATGACAAATTCTTCTTCTTCATATAAAATGTACATTCTATCCCCTTCATTAACATGTACATAAATGTTTGAAAATACAAATATATAACTCCTTTTTTATAACTCAAAAACCAAAGACAATGTTCAAAGAAGAAAAGAAAAACTTAAAAAGCAAAGACAGTTTTCAAAGAAGAAAAAAGAAATGCTTTCACTATTTGTTTAACCCTTATTCATAACAGGGCAGAGTTTAGTACAGTGGTCTATGAAGTAATATAGAATAACAAACCCTAGCTTTATCTCATATATCTAGATGTTTTGCATTTTCAATTTTTTTTTGTGCCAAATATATATATTTGACATTTGAAAAATAGTTTACAAAACATAAGTTTTTCTTAATCACACACAAACACAAAAATGTTTGTAATAAAAGAATCTTTTATTATTTCTGACCTTCCAAAAGTGTCAACTATTTTTCTGTATAATGTTATTTTTTGTAATCTAGTTTTCAGCCATTCTCAATAGATCATAAAGCATGTAAAATATGGACATCATAATTGTACATTTATGATAATTAAATGAAGTATATATATGTTTAAAAGTCATTCTATGAGAGTACTACTCAAACTTGTTTATTATTATTAAATTCTTTAACAACAGCTTATCATCCAAGAATTAACAATTAATAATATATCTTTTCTGAAACAAAATTATTTGCTAAAAATAAAAGAAACAATAAAGAAAGCCAAAAACAGCATATTGAAAATCTTGCAGGCTTGATTTGATAACACTTGTTAATGGACTGTGCTAATTGTAGTGAAGTTTAACATCCATGTAACCTTCTAGCTTCCACTCAAACAGAATTTAACATTTAAACAAGAAACAGTAAAATTTCGAGTTTAGAAACATGCACAGATGTATCCTGGACCCAAAGTAATTTTACCCAGTAAAATATTCAATGTTCCTGATTGGTTAATTAAAAAATCTCAGATAAGAAAACAGCCAATGATAGGACAGTCATATGACTGGTATAAAATTTTCAAATTCTATAAACAGCAGGTTTCAATGCTTTATGAGCAAGCACCACTTGTGTATAATACATCAGCTTTACAAAAGCAGTCTGGCAACAAATATATCACAAAATAGCGTGAAAAAATATATAACAAGTGGCAATATTTAATAGGAAATCATTTAAAACAAAACCAAATCTTCACAAATAGTTACAAGAGGAGGAGAAGGGGTTCAGGATTTCCATATAACTTACATTCCGACATATCATATACAAACATTTTTCCCCTAACACAATGTTTATTTGATATCACATGGTTGCACATATCCAAATGAGCCACACCAACATGAGTGTATGACTATTTTGTTTTGTGAACAAAGAGTAAATGTATCCTTTTTTTCCCTGTATCTATTTCTATACCTGACGTGCGGTTTCTTTGAATTCTTCCTTTTCATCCAGTTTATTTCTAAACTTGTATAATCTTTCTATGAATTTCTTGTAAAATATACAATTCACTGCTAAAAGATACTTGCCATTTCATTCTACACTTTCAAAACATTCAATTCTATATCTTAAATAATAGTATTAATAGTACATTAATTTTGTCTATAAAAGACCTTCAAGTTTTTTATGATAATTGTCCTACCAACAGTTTATAATGTGGAAATGATGAAATAAAAAATGAAAACAATAAATAAGCTACATCAAGCACTTACAAGTTTATTCCCTAATAAATAAAGCAATTTCTAAATGAAAAAAAAAATGGAGGGAAAAAAATTCTAAAAACATAAATAAAACTTATGGCACAAAATGAAGAAAAAATATCAAAGCTGGGCTTTTCTTCATGATAATAATAACTCCAGATGTAAATTTTGTTGCTAGACATTACATCACAAATAAAGGAAATTTTATAAATATAAAGAGAACTGCTAGTGAAGTTGCTAAAATTAGTTGACCAATCAAATATATAAAGGAAATGATGGGCTGAGATATGTACATGTATAACGTGTCTACAGAGATCAAATATCCCTTACCAAAGTTTTATTTTTTAACAAACCTGTAACAATGTTTACAAAATTGTAAATCATGATGTAAATAATAAATCATTTGTTTCTTGAACATTTCATTACCATTAATAACAAAACAATAAATATAATTTGTAAGTAAAGGATGCTCCTGTTATGTCATCTTGGCAATGTTCCAAAACATTGCCGTAGTACAATAATGGAAAAGTAGGAAAATCTATAATTAGCCTAAGTGACCTTGACCTAGCTGACCTGACACCTTACAATAAGGAAAGGTCCACTGGAGGTATCAACACACAGGACAATGTTAAATATCTTTCAAATAATAAGTAACAGGTGTTCTGTAACAGTATTATAGGTATTACCACTGTATGGATGAGTTGTTATTAGATTAATAAAATATATAAGCGCTTGTTTGTGTTTCTGTCTACACCAAGAAACATGTTCTGAGAAACAGACAGATGGGAGATTTAACAGGCAACTACATGTGTATATGCTTCACCCATAATCATTTAAGTTAAAAGCAGGTGCAAGAAATATAACAACACATTTATTTTTGATAATGCCCGCAAAATATTGACTTATTAAAAAAAACAACAACATCTCAAGGCAAAGCTCAGCACATTTTTATCTGTATCCTGTATTTCCATACAAATAAAGATGCAAAAAATTGAATCATAAAATTTGTTATCTTCTCTTACTGAAAATCTGATGTACAAGAATTTAGCTTACGTGAATCTGATTAAATATTTTCTTATAATTCCAACAGTTCAGATTCCTGGCAAATGACTACTGTATCAATTATAAAAACAAATTTTAGTCTGTAATGAAAATTTTCACCCAAACAAGACTGCTTAAACATTATATTGCACTATCCATAAAGAGCATTTCTTTAAGACAATCTGGCAAGGTCAGTGTTTAAATTTTGTACAAAAAAGTATTATTTCAAATTTATAACTTTCTGCTCCAATGAAAAAGTCATAAAGTATTTTTATCCAACAGAACAATCTTGTATCAGAAAGGCTGTTCTCACTGTTTTGTATGTTCGAATATAAAATCATCCCATTTAAAACTAAGTAAATATGAAAATTATTTGGAATCAATAATATAACAAGAGGGCCATGATGGCCCTGAGGTCGCTCACCTGTATATAGGCCCCCCACCCCCCCCCCAACGTTGCAGGGCCAATTTAACCCAAGGGCTTTTATTTGCACAAACTTGGTAGACACCCATAAGAAGATGTTTCATGCTAAACATCTAAGCTCTAGCTCATTGGGCTTTTTAAAAGAAGATTTTTTTTAAGTTTTTACTATACACATATAGTTAAAAACAATGACACCCCTGGGGCCGGGCCAATTTTGACCCCAGGTCTTTTATTTGAACAAACTTTGTAGACACTCACTAGAAGATGTTTCATGCTTAATATCTTAACTCTAGCTATTTGGGTTTTTTCTAAGACGATTTTTTAAGTTTTTGCTATACACATATAAGGAAAATCAATGACCCCCGGGGCGGTGCCAATTTTGACCCAAGGGCTTTTATTTGAACAAACTTGGTAGACACCTATTAGAACATGTTTGATGCTAAATATCTTAGCTATAGCTCTTTGAGTTCTTTAAAAGAAGATTTTTAAAGTTTTTACTATATGCATATAGGGAAAATCAATGACCCCCTGGGGCGGGGCCAATTTTGACCCCAGGGCTTTTATTTGAACAAACTTGGTAGACACCTATTAGAACATGTTTGATGCTCAATATCTTAGCCATAGCTCTTTGAGTTCTTTAAAAGAAGATTTTTTAAGTTTTTACTATATGCATATAGGGAAAATCAATGACCCCCCCGGGGCGGGGCCAATTTTGACCCAAGGGCTTTTATTTGAACAAACTTGGTAGACACCAATTAGAACATGTTTCATGCTAAATATCTTAGCTCTAGCTCTTTGAGTTCTTTAAAAGAAGATTTTTTAAGTTTTTACTATATGCATATAGGGAAAATCAATGACCCCCCGGGGCGGGGCCAATTTTGACCCCAGGGCTTTTATTTGAACAAACTTGGTAAACACTTATTAGAACATGTTTCATGCTAAATATCTTAGCTCTATCTCTTTTGGTTTTTTAAAAGAAGAAAGATTTTTAAAGTTTTTACTATATGCATATAGGGAAAATCAATGACCCCCTGGGGTGGGGCCAATTTTGACCCCAGGGCTTTTATTTGAACAAACTTGGTAGACACCCATTAGAACATGTTTCATGCTAAATATCTTAGCTCTAGCTCTTTGGGTTCTTTAAAAGAAGATTTTTTAAGTTTTTACTATATGCATATAGGGAAAATCAATGACCCCCCGGGGCGGGGCCAATTTTGACCCCAGGGCTTTTATTTGAACAAACTTGGTAGACACCGATTAGAACATGTTTCATGCTAAATATCTTAGCTATAGCTCTTTGGGTTCTTTAAAAGAAGATTTTTTAAGTTTTTACTATATGCATATAGGGAAAATCAATGACCCCCCGGGGCGGGGCCAATTTTGACCCCAGGGCTTTTATTTGAACAAACTTGGTAGACACTCACTAGAAGTCGTTTCATGCCAAATATCTAAGCTCTAGCTCTTATGGTTTTTTAAAAGAAGATATTTAAAGTTTTTTCTTTCGGTTGCCATGGCAACCAGAGTTCTGCATGGAATTAAATTCTTTGAACAATTTTTAAAGGTGACCACCAAAGGAACATTCCTGTGAAGTTTGGATGAAATTGGCTTAGTGGTTTATGAGAAGATGTCATTTAAAGTAAAAGTTTACGGACGGACGCCGGACGGACGGACGCCGGACGAAAAGCGATCACAAAAGCTCACCCTGTCACTTTGTGACAGGTGAGCTAAAAATGCTGGAATGAAAGATTCAAATATACCTATACAGTTTTACAGTAATTTCTTTATTATTGTGACACAACATATCAAAATACTGGTATTCACAAAAATATTTGTGATAAACTCTTTTTTAACTTTACATAGAGTATGAATATAAATGATTGTGTCTATTTACAATTTATATATTTTCCAAGCTCTGCATAGCACTTTTTTCCCCAAATTATATATACATGTATATCAAAATATACCGAGTAGTTGCAGGTAACTTAAATTTAATAAGATCAAGTTTATATTATGATCAATTGTACAAATATTTGATACATTTTTATATAATATTTTACAAATAAATACCAGGTAATAATATATAAATGAGGGGAGGGGTGGGTAATTCACATGTACAAGGAAGAACCATGCAGTATAATACAAATCCTGCACAATTATCACATGTTTGAAGAGTAAGTAATAAAATAAACATAACATAATTATGCAGACACCTTTCATTTTAGGTGCTTTGACAGTTGTTGAAGCGACCATTTTTTAACAAACGCTGTAATGAGAACATATTTTTTACTTTTCTCAGAGTTTTATAATAAACAGAACCTCCGAGAAATAAAGGGGTGTTACACAGTAACTGCAGTTATGGTTCCTGTTTATATATCAATAATTATGACTAAATTATTGTCATAATTGTAAAAAGTTTCAACTAAACATCTTCAGTGGTTAATAAAACATCAAGTTTCATGTAAAACAATGAACAAGTGAGTTTTTTTAAACATTGTTCTAATCATTTTCATGTTAATTATCAAAATTTGCTAACATCTTTTTCTTGCTTAGTTATGAAAATTTTATTTTGTATATTATTTAAATAATATTTGCCTCCCTTTGGAGTAACCTACTCCACTTCTACTGTATTCAATATATCAAGTATTAAAACAGAAACTCTTAAGTGAATCCTTATTTTTCATATCAATGTGGTTATTAGGATTTGTATGAGTATAATTAAAGGCCACATACAATAATTATTTTCGGAAATCTGGACATTACCTGATTTTTGTACATCAAAGCAGTCATGAATATAAAAACAACTTTCTTATTGGGACCATAGTACATGGAAAAATACAAAAAATACATGCTAAAACAATACCTTATCTCCCTTAACATACTCTGTTTGTCCTCCATTTTGTAATTTATTACATATCACATCTAAAAACTTAAAGTATCACGTCTATAAATATTTGTTCAAACAAAATAAAATGATCTAGCAAAACAACAAAAAATATCTTGAATTATCTACCTATTTCTAAGCTTTCAACATATCTTACAAACATATTGCAATGAATTACAATAATGACTTAATATAAATTACTTCTATGAAGTAATAGCATAATTTATTATCATTTTTTGTAAATTTAAGTAGTTAAGCGTAAGTGCGTAAGATTTCAACTGAAATGGTAGACCAGTCTAGAGCAGTACGTTCTTTCATTGGTCAATTTCAAATATGTGCTCAATATTACCCAATCAGATTATGAGTTATGAGACTGGTTCATGATACAAAGTTATAAACCTTGACCTTTCCTTTGCTAATATTTAAGCAATTACAGCATATGAAAATAATGACTGCAGCAAATAAAATGCAGTAAAAATGAATCTAGCAATTAAAGCCTCCACCCCACAAAAAAATCAATGAGAGCTTAAGAATAAAGCTCAGACTGAAAACATATCTCATTTAGCCAAAAAAATCTCCACATCTGATGTAAAAGCTGCTCTGATTGGCTGTAATGAAGTTGCACATGATTTTTCTTCACAAATATTCCACATTTGATGTGATTTCTCTAGAGTTAAGTCTATTATTTGGTACTCCAACCAAATCAAACTGTTTTTTCATATCAAGCATTTGACTCTAAGTCCTCTTCTTTTTTCTGTTCACTTTTCCCTCCATTTTCTGCAGCAGGCGTCTGCAAAAATGAGTCATGTGTTCAATAAAATTAAAGCTATATCATTCAAAGCTTGGCACAACTTACTTTTTATCCTGTTCAGTTTATTCCGATTTTTTTTTCTGGCATTGGATATGAATTTTTTTCCAGTCTGGAGCTATATCAATCTCATATCATAATGGTTTATGATAATCATATTAATAGTTATTTTTCAAGATATTTGATGTTTGAACATTTATGTGTTTTTGCATAATTTTATGCTAAAGACTTGCTCTTTTTTCATTTTGGAGCTGTCCAGTGTCAATTCAAAGGATGTCAATATCAAAACATTAAAATCAAACAGCTAACACTACACAGTCTATAGTAAGGTTTTATTGATGTTAAGGCTGACTTAAAATCTACACTGCCTGAACAATATTTAAAGCAAAGACTCTATTAGCAGTAAGGTTCATAGTTCAAGGATTAATTTAAGGGCAAAATCACCCTTTTCCGAAACATGTTATTTAGTGTGGTTCTCCAGCCCTTTTTTTTAGTCTCACTCATTTCAAAATAAAATGAATATCTAACAGAGCAGACAATTGTCAGACAGTACAGATGTGCCAGCTTACCTTGGTCTGCACTGATCACATTGATACAATCTCCTGCCACTAGCAGACTGCAGGTTAAATAAACTAACCCTCGGGTTGAATAAACTTACCCTCGGGTTATATAAACTTACCCTCGGGTTAACTAATCTACCCTCAGGTTAAATAAACTTACCCTCGGGTTAAATAAACTTACCCTCAGGTTAAATAAACTTACCCTCAGATTAAATAAACTCACCCTCTGGTTAAATAAACTTACCCTCAGGTTAAATAAACTTACCCTCAGATTAAATAAACTTACCCTCGGGTTAAATAAACTTATCCTCAGATTAATTAAACTTACCCTCAGGTTGAATAAACTTAACCTCAGGTTAAATAAACTTACCCTCAGGTTAAATAAACTTACCCTCGGGTTAAATAAACTTACCCTCAGGTTAAATAAACTTACCCTCAGGTTGAATAAACTTACCCTCAGGTTGAATAAACTTACCCTCAGGTTAAATAAACTTACCCTCGGGTTAAATAAACTTACCCTCGGTGAATCTGGTTTAAGGTCAAGTGTACTCATCTCTCGATCCATTTCATCCATCATATCTTGTTCATCTTCAGCAGACAGTTTCATGTAGTTTTTGTCACTACTTAACGGTAAATTAGACGACAGCAAGCTCTCTTCTTCCTCCTCTTTATCCTCCAATTGGTTTATGTTGGCAAGTAACAAGTTCTGAAATACAACCAAAACCAGTTTTTTTCTTTTTGTTTTTATTTTAAAGAAAAGAAAAAGCAATCGCTGAATATTTTTGTTGTTGACTGACACTGTAAAAGTCACTAAAGCACAGTGTCATCTTTTACTAGTGGAGCAAGATCCATTTAGGTGCCATTCAAAGTATTTCTGTTGGCAAAAGTCGACATGTGGAGGTGTGACCAAGTGGTTAATGCATTAGATTATGTAAATTGAAAGTAGGCACCATGTTAGAACAATTGAAGTGAATAGCTTCCTTACAGGAAAAATGTCAATCTGCCCCCTGGGGAATTTAACACCTACAAAAACATAAAGGGCAGATCATTGAAAAGTAGTGATCATAAGCACTTAGCCGACAAGGCCCTTGACATACAGTCATACAGTATGAACTACCTGTCAAAGAGGCAAGAATTAAAAGAAATCACACATGTATAAATATATCATCATAATCATTATAACAACAAATAAACAGTTTACTGTTAACACATGGGGTACTTTTAATGTAGATCTTAGGCATGTGATGTGCAGAGAATCTTATCTCAGGACTCCCTTGTCTGCTGGCAAACCTGTTAAGAGTCTATTAATAGGAATATACGGCCTACACCATAGCTCTGATTATACATGACACTAATTGACTAATAATAATTGAGCTGCGCCATGACAAAACCAACATAGTGTGTTTGCGACCAGCATGGATCAAGAACAGCCTGCGCATCGGGCAGTCTGATTAGGATCCATGCTGTGCGCTTACAAACCCAATAATAAGTACAGAAACTGACAGCGAACAGCATGGATCCTGATCAGACTGTGCTGCGCAGGCTGGTCTGGATCCATGCTGGTCGCAAACACACTATGTTGGTTTTGTCATGGCACGGCTCAATTATATTATATACATTGATAGCTTCAATATTTAAATATTTACGTATATAACAGTATAGCATGAATGGTACAGACTCAGGCCTGGCTCTATAATTGTGGCATTTTAAGTCTTTTACTATTTTCATAGCTGGCAGTCAAATAGTTAGGAAGCAAATTATTCAGATGTTGTGACAAATACTGAGATCACCAATTGTCACTACCACTTCAGTACTTCATCTTATAATAATCTTACACCAGCTGAGTGAGCTGGTACAAACCTAAATATAAGTGTTTAAGATGGGTAACAATTTCTACAAGTCTTTGAAGAGTTTTAGCTAAATAGTTGCCACTGTCAGTTAAATACTCCTGTCTGTAACAATTAACAGCAAGAGATTTATTTTTTTCTTACATATTACAAATTGAATAAACTATAAAAAGAAATTATGAAACCTAATATCTTTATTCATCACTTTTTTCTCTAAATTTACAAATTGATTCCTATTAGTTAGAAGCACACTAAAATCATTCATATTCTGGATAATGTACTTTTAAAGCATGCAACTTGTCTTGTATGGGGGTTTTAAGAAGCAATGGTGCAAACACTTGAAAATCCAGTCTAATATGCAAGAAATAATTATTTCATTTAATCAGTATTCTATATTTATATATTCTCTAAGTTTATATACATGACCTTGATTACATAGCATATTCTAGTATATGATTTACAGGTATTAAAGTATTAGTTACACTCTAGGGAATATATTTTATTTAGAAGAAGATTATTCATTAATGATAATACAGTCCTGTACAATATGAGTTCATAAAAGCTCTAGAAAAATACTGTACAACTTGGCATGATTTATAGCAGGAAATAACAGAACATTTTAATATAGTACAAGTTAATGAGGTTAGTAATTTCATTTAACACATTATTGGAAACTGTGCCACTGTAAACTTGACATTCTGCCAACTTTGGACTATAAGTGCAATGTATGTGCTTCCTATTTTGAAATCAATAAATTTTTAAGGGTTTCTTAATAATCTTAATTTTAGGGTTCAAAATGTACATACAATATTCCCATTGGAAATTTAATGACCTTGACCTTTTATCTCATGACCTCTATAAACAAATTTAATGACCTTGACCTTTATCTAATGACCTCTATAAAACAATGTCATCATCTGACATCAAAAGACTGCTTAAGTACATGGATAACCAACAGATGCTAGTTGTGCAAGACTATTCTCAGTGTTTAAAAGTAGCAAACATTTTCAAATGGGAATAATTTAGTGAGTCAATATGTAAAAAGTCTAGGGTCTTAATTGTTCAAAGACTTACTATAACTATCAAGAAAACAATATGTAAAACTTTCAAGTAAAACCCTCAACAAAGATTTACTAAATTTTCAAAATGGTATCATTTATGAAAAAATAATGCAAGAGTTATGGGTCTTAGATAGTGACCGCCTATTTATAATCGTGATGACATATATGCACCTTCAATGTTGTAAAGAAATATGAAGGTGCAAGCAAAACCATTACCTAATTTTCTAGTAATGCAAGGGTGAGTTAAAAGAGAGCTCATCTATTCTCTGAAAAGGTGAGCTAAAATTGATTTACAATTCACTTTTTCCCAGCATAGAGGAGGTATAATTATGTTAGTTTATCAAATTTCCTTTCATTCCAATAACATTTTAACAATAAAAGAAATGCAAGTGTCTTTAAACATAAAAACATGCAAGTTAATATTTAATGCTTGGTGCTGAAAATCAAGACTTGGTTGCAGCCAGAAGTTGTATTAGTGACATGGTGCATCAGACAGAGTTATCTTCCCTTTTGCTTCATCAGACAGAGTTTTCTCCCCTTTTGCTTCCAGAACAGTTTAAAAAAATATGTATATACAGAGATTGGTTACTGTAGGTTTGTATCAAGACTTAACTTATCAAAGTAAAATGTTTTTTTGTTCTTTTTTTTGTGTCAGTGTTTCTATAGTAATATTAACTGAATATTAACTTAGTAAGTATAAGATATGATATTTGGTATACACCATAAAGTGCTGATATCTTAATGTAAAAAAAAGAAGGCAATATTCCACATAAAGTAATTACGTATCTAACAAGATCACATTAAAATTGACAATAGTGACATGCAATTAAATTTTTTCCTTGAAATCATGCTGGACCATGCTCTGAAAAATTTTTGTTGTAAGAAAAAAATGCCTCCTCAATTTCTTTGCAAATTTCTTGTATAGACAACCATATAAAATACGAACATTTCATATACAAAGCAGTCTTTACATAAAGTTATAAAGTCAAAGATCTGGTATTTCCAATAATTATCTTTACAATTTAATCAATACCTAAAAATAATATCAAACTTTCATCATTTTTGACTGTTTTAGTCCTAATTATACCCCCCCCCCTTCACTCTGCATTTTTTAAGTGGATAATTCTAGCTTATATACTAGCACATGTAATATGTCTTAACCTTTTCCCTTATATAAGCGTGTTTCGACGGCTTTTTGCCCCCCCCCCCCCTTTTGAGGCCTCAAACAGTGAAAAAATGTCCTATTTAGACCCCAAACACTGTTTTTCGTTTGAGAAATGTTGTTAAAAAAAGTGACCATTTTTTCGGCGCCGTCCCCCATCCAAATAATACATCAGGGGGTTGCCAGAAGGGGGATGTGCCCCCTTCTGTTTGGGGGGTTTGAAGGGGGGGCGGAGTCCCCCTCATCGCCAAGAAAATTTTGGACTTGTGAGAGGCTTAAAATGACCCCAGGTTGATCATAAAGTAATGTGTAACCAACGCTGAAAAGCCTTTGACTCTATCTCAATCCATTGAGAAGTTGCAGCACTTTGAAATAAATTTTGATGGAAAAAATCGAGGCAAAATAGTGATTTTTGGCAATTTTGAGATGTCCCCTCGTTGCCATGGTAACAGGAAATTTAAGACTGAGCATGTCATTACAAAGGCAATGGTCCAGTCAACATTTGTGCCAAGTTTGATTAGTATTGAAGCATTTTTCATAGTTTCATAGCAGTTTGAACTTGTAAGAGGAGGCTTTTCAGTTAAAATGGCCATTTTTCACGATATGCTCATGGGGGAAAGGGTTAAATTACATTTTATAGATTGTTGTTAGGAAACATGTGCATACCACACTGGAAATACCATTCAATGACTTTAAAAGCACAACCATGTATGTATACACGTCCACCAGAAAGCAACATTGTGTACATAATACATATATACCTGCCGTGGCACAGGTGGAACATCAGAATTGTTTTCATTTACTACATGAACATATCTTTACTTAAATGTTAAATGCAATAGTTAACTATTTACCCAAATAGTCATTTTATGTACACATGATGATAAATAAATCAGTGTATCCCCCCCTGCCCCAACCCTAACTGGAATCCTGGATCCGCTCCAGCTTCATGTGCACATGGCATTTACACATGCACAATTGATACATTAAATAATTCTAATGTCCGCTGTGACCAATCGTGTATACCAACCTAGACAAAAGTTCTAATAAAAGTAATATGCTGAACAATATAAGGTTTTGACTTTAAATATACATTATATTTTTTTCACTGAAAACAATACAGTCCGGTAAATATCTGTTTCCAATTCTTTAATTAAACCTAACTATTACTTTAAACTGCTGAATATTGCAAATATTTCTGTTTCAAATGAATACCAAACATAAGTAATACAATCATGTACTCATGGGATTCCAACCTGGTACGGGGTATAATTTCAACACAAGTTACTAAAAAATAAATTACCTTCAATAGCATGTAACTTTAAAGTATCAGCATATAACATTGAGGTATTAGCATATAACCATATGATATAAGCATACATCATTAAGGTGTTAGCGTATAACCTTAAGGTATTAGCATATAACCATAAGGTATTAGCATATAACCATATTGTATTAGCAAATAACCATATGGTATTATCATATAACCATATGATATAAGCATATAACCTTAATACTTCAGTATATAACCTTTATTAGAACTATTGTAATATTGTACAGAACAGTAACATGTATATTTACCTCATCTTTACCCTCATCCTACAAGCAAAGTGTCATAAAGCATTGCACTTTCTTGTTCAAACTCACAATATAATTACAAGCTTCTCATGTCATTATACAGTCAAACCTGTTGCAAGAGTCACCTATTCATAGGGACAAACATGCCCTAATCTCTTCCTTGCATAAATATTTAACCGGTAACCTGCTTGAACCAAAAATGATCAGCCTTAGCAACCAGTATACAGCCCAGCCAGCCTGTGCATCCATGCAGTCTGACCTGGGTAGCCCAACTTTATTATTTTCATATTGAAATCCCTTAAACTTTGAATGGACTGTTCCAAATTCAAAGCTAGACAGATCCATTGAAATAAATTTAGCAGGTTAAGGGTTTACACAGGTGAGCTATGTTTGACCCTGTACTTTCTCTGTATATAACTCTGTATAAGCAATTCTTTCTTGTTCTTGTTGTACAAGTACCTTACACCTATGTACAAACATTTAGGTTTTAAAGAAAGTAATTAGAAACACTCTTCTATAAGAAACAATGTTCTAGTAAGCCACTCTATCAAAATTAAAAACACCAACTACTAGTATTCACAGCAACTCACTAAGAAGTTTTTACTATCTAAAATAAGTACATCCCTAGTTGGAGAAATTTGGCTTTAGTTATCAAAGCAGCATGCCTCCAGATTTGAAATTTGTATTAATTTTTTTTTAGAAAACTTAAAATAACATTGTTCTATTGAGTTAAATGTTGTCAAGTGTACAAGTTAACCTGTAGCTGTAGGCACACTTACCATTCACAGAGTACCCATATCTTGTCAAAATATTTAGAAATTACTCTTACTCCGTTACTGAAGGGTTGAATTTTGGTGATAAAACTGGTCAAATCTGTCATAATTTTTTCATGATAATCATACATTTAAAAGTTTCACCTCGATTTTGAATGTCTCTACATTTCTTAAGCTACAAGAACATCTTTCTAACATAACTTTATCTTTTTTTAAAGATTTGCTTACCATCTGGAGGTGTGCCACTTTAATACGACAGTTGTACTTAATTAAAACACTACTTCCCTAAGAAACTTTCACTGCATACTAAATTGATATGCATTATTACTGACACTCAAACAAGGGTTGTTCGTAATTGTTAAAAGAACTAATTTACATTGTACTTTTAAGTTATCTTATAATAGAAAACGGTCACTCAGAGGGTGATTTCTTTGAAAATTTTGTTGTTTTATGGGGGCAGTATTTTTGAAAATATTCAAATGCAATGACTGCCGAAGAGTTAAAAAATTGTTTAGGGACCATTCATTTTTTTGCAATTCATCAGGATTGATTATAATGTACACTGTTACAAGGTAATAAAAACCAGTTATAATTTAATAACCCATACACATTATGCATAATACTGATTTACACACAACATCTTCTATTACCTATATTAAATATTTATTTTTAGCAAAATCAAAAATGCACACAAAAAACTTAAATGAAAATTTACATATTTAAAATTTACAAAGGACTGGGTTACTGTTCCAAACAGGTTGTTAGACATTTCCAACCTGACAAAAATAGACATATCAAGCCCCGCCCCTACCAGCCCCCCCCCCCCCCCCACAAAAATCAAAGCTAGAAGATTTGCAGACAGCACTATACTAGTAGCACAGAATTGTCTTTCAAGGGTCTGTTTGAGTTAACTTTTATATTAACATAGTAAACTGTAACCCAATCCTCTGCCTGCTGTTTTTATATACAGAATAGTGTTATAATTATCTCACCTTCTCTTTATCTTTTAATGACCTAATTTTCTCTGTAGCCTTCTTCTCCTGTAAAACAAAAATTACAGTAATTGTTAATGTTGTATGCTCGGCAATTTACATCATTTTACAATACATGTATATTTACATGGACTTTTAAACTAGCATCAAATATGAAAATAGTTATTTGCATTCATTTCTTTAAATACAAACAACAACAAAAAAATATTAAAACTAAAAATAAATTTAATAAACAGTATGTGATTGTAAAACACGAAAGTCCCCAATCTGTATAAAATGATGGTACAGTGTAATGTCCTAAATTTTGAAAATCTGAGCTTGAAGGTCAGATTCATTTAAGAGTTGAGGTTATATTTCAATACCTGCAAATGAAGCTATGTTTGTCCAGTGATATGTCTGTTTAAAGATATGTTTGTCCAAAAGTATAGAATGAGGATTCTATGGCAAAGGTGAAAGGTGTACAAAGAGAAAGCAGACAAAAAAGTTGGGACAAAAACAATATAAAACCTCTTATCATTGCTAATGCGTAGAATACCTTTGTACTTTTATCAATATGATGAAAAGTTATTGAAATTACTTACCATTAAAGCATGGAAAGCCATTTTCGTTGCTGTACCTATTGCATTACAAATCTGTGGAAAGAAAAAAACTAGATAGTACAAAATCTTGTATATTACTTCCAAAAACATTTCTGTAAAATGTTGTATTCTAAACAATAAATTGTCTCACATGGGTTTTTTCAATTTCTATTTATTATAAATATGATATTAAAATACAATGTGTATGAATTTTCATCAATTCTTTGAGCTTATTCACTTTAAAATATCATCAAAAATTGTAAACTTATAAAGGCAAAACATCTAAATTGTATTTTCATTCTCTGTCTTACAAGTTTTAATATTGAACATTTTAACATTGAACTTTTCAATACTGAACATTTTAATATTGAACATTTTAACATAGAACATTTCAATACTGAACATTTTAATATTGAACATTTTAACATTGAACATTTCAATACTGGACATTTTAATGTTGAACATTTTAACATAGAACATTTCAATACTGGACATTTTAATGTTGAACATTTTAACATAGAACATTTCAATACTGAACATTTTAATATTGAACATTTTAACATTGAACATTTCAATACTGGACATTTTAATGTTGAACATTTTAACATAGAACATTTCAATACTGAACATTTTAATGTTGAACATTTTAACATAGAACATTTCAATACTGAACATTTTAATGTTGAACATTTTAACATAGAACATTTCAATACTGAACATTTTAATATTGAACATTTTAACATTGAACATTTCAATACTGGACATTTTAATATTGAACATTTTAACATTGAACATTTCAATACTGGACATTTTAATATTGAACATTTTAACATAGAACATTTCAATACTGGACATTTTAATGTTGAACATTTTAACATAGAACATTTCAATACTGGACATTTTAATGTTGAACATTTTAACATAGAACATTTCAATACTGAACATTTTTAATGTTGAACATTTTAAACATAGAACATTTCAATACTGAACATTTTAATGTTGAACATTTTAACATAGAACATTTCAATACTGAACATTTTAATATTGAACATTTTAACATTGAAAACATTTCAATACTGGACATTTTAATATTGAACATTTAACATAGAACATTTCAATACTGAACATTTTAATGTTGAACATTTTAACATTAGAACATTTCTCAATACTGAACATTTTAATGTTGAACATTTTTAACATAGAACATTTCAATACTGAACATTTTAATATTGAACATTTTAACATAGAACATTTCAATACTGAACATTTTAATATTGAACATTTTAACATAGAACATTTCAATACTGAACATTTTAATGTTGAACATTTTAACATAGAACATTTCAATACTGAACATTTTAATATTGAACATTTTAACATAGAACATTTCAATACTGGACATTTTAATGTTGAACATTTTAACATTGAACATTTCAATACTGGACATTTTAATATTGAACATTTTAACATAGAACATTTCAATACTGGACATTTTAATGTTGAACATTTTAACATAGAACATTTCAATACTGGACATTTTAATATTGAACATTTTAACATAGAACATTTCAATACTGAACATTTTAATATTGAACATTTTAACATAGAACATTTCAATACTGAACACTTTAATATTGAACATTTTAACATAGACACATTTCAGAACTGAACATTTTAATATTGAACATTTTATTCATGTGCAAGACTCAAAATAAATTTGAAATACAAATCGATTTACAAAACCTATTTGTGGACAAGTAAATGTCAAGCCTTTTTCCAGCCCTGTTAATTTCATAATTTCAGAGTTTCAAATATATAAAATATTAAATAAATCTAAAAATAGAACACACAAATTAAGATAAAATGGTAGGTTACCTCTCCTGCGGAGACATTACACTCAAACACATGGCAGGCATACGACCCTTCTCCTTTATTCCTTGTTATAAAACCAAACAACCTGACCAAACAAATAACATCTCAATTATATTATTACTATGTCTTCGTGTCCCAACATATTTTGTTACAATGCATTTCTTCAAAAGCGGATTATATCAAATTGAATTTTCCCCAAAATATTACAGAGGCCAATATTCCTGTAATTATCCTACCAATTTAGTGCAATGTTTGAATATCAGCTGATAAAGTATTATACATACAGGGAGGTAATCACATTTTATAGAAATTAAATCATACGACCTAATGCCTATTTTAAGTAAGCTTTTACAGGACAAATGGGGGATATTACAAATTGTATACAAATGTACCATAGAGATAGGTAAAGAAAGGTTTTAGCTTATTTCATTAATATTGATAAAGTTAAAGGAAACCTTCATAAGAATTACAAGTAAAGAGAGGTAAAATGTCTATTGTTTTATAAAGATTATAGATTTGTTTGTTTGTTTCATTTTACGCCTTTCCCCAGCAGTATTTCATTCATATAGGCGGGTAGTTTCCTAACCATCCTTCCTGGAGAGTTACACCAGTACTAGACTACCTTCCTCCGTGCTAAACTACCAAAGCATCTCTTGGGGATCGAACCCACGCCAGAGAGGTAACTGGATTAGAAGTTATCGACTCTAACCCCTCGACCACGGAGGCGGTAAGATTATAGGTAAAGGGAGGTAAATGCTTATTGTAGACAAAGGGAGAAAATGCCTATTCTTTTATAAGTAAAGGGAAGTAATCACCTATTGTTTTCATGATGTGCTGCCCAATATGATATGTCCTCTAAGGCAAACTGTACCCTGACAGTGTTGTTTGAAGGCTCTATCAATCTGTAATATATAAATGACATCAATATTCACAGATTTTAAACAGTTGGTTTATAAAACAAAAAGATATGTTGGTTCAAACATATTTATTTAAGCTTGATTGCAAAACAAGTTCTTGCAACTTATATTAATCACTGTCGGCTTTCTGGAACCAACCAGTACTGGTGTCATGTGAAGAAACATGGTTGTGACCCCATTAGGGCTTGAACCCATGATCCCTGGGTTGAGGCAAACTGGCAAATGTCCACCACATCATAATAAGGGGGTTAATGTCTAGGAGGCAAATGTCCAATGTGAATAATGTCCTTGAATCTTAAGTAACATAAAGCGGTCTCAAAATAACTTTTTAATATTCACTGGAAGAATTAAACAGACAAAGTTGTCTTTTATCTATCTTCAAGTGACATTATGCCCACCTAAGCATAAATGGTCAGTCTTTTCATGATAGAGGTCGTTATTATATTGTATCTGAAACATCTTTCATAATTAATCATTGGTTAATCACTAATTATTATAATAATCAATCTGTAGAAATAAATAAAAATCAACTCAATTTGACGTAGAATTAATAAGCATAATGTCACTTTAAATTTGTTAACTGTATCAATCATACTTGTCAAAATCACCCCTTACCTCATACATTCACTAGATACAACCATCCTTGATTCTGTCATTTTAAACACATTATGTATTGCACGAGCAGCCATTATTTGTCTTATTGTCTCATGCACCAATTTTTCTCCTGAAATAGTCAACAACAATTTCTTTCTAGGGTGGGAAATTCAAATACAGTAACTTTCCCCTCTTTTATAGGTCACAGCACAGGTTATGTATACTTAGTATCACATATTATTTAGCACAGACAAGTTGACAATAACACACAAAGAGATTTGTAATGTCATCTGGATTTTTTTTTCAAAATATAACCCATATAAATATATCTTACTTAAAAAAATATGAACTCTATGTTATATTTTTTTTGTAGTTTTTCTGTTGTTAATGCCAGATTTATCACATATTTTTATCGGTCATAAGTTGGCCATCAACCCACCTAACTGGTTTTCCCGGATACCTTACCAGTAATTACCAACTTTTAAGCAAGTGAGTCACTATTTACCTCACATGATTTCCGTATCAGCCGTGAGAGACAAATGACCATTAGACTCAATTTTTTGAGATCAAGTGTCACAAAGAATTTCAGCCTTGCCGGAGGATGGAACCAGCGACTCATGAATAACTAATCCAATGCTCTCCCTATTCAGCTAAGTGAGCATGTAAAGTAAAGTTTAAGTAACATATTTCCAACATATTTACCTGTACCTGTGCAGTACATAATCAATAACCACGTAACAAGGAAATTCATTACACATAACAGTTACTTTACCAACAACTGGTAAAAAACAATATCCTTAAAATGTTTCTTCCTATGTTTCCTGATCAGGCAATTTCAAAATGTGTAGATGGTCTCTATTATGTTCCCTATTATGTTTTCTTAATTTCTAAAAAGAAAGTAGATTTCCTTGGAACTTTATACTGTGTTAAATGTTTTTACCTCTATCTTGCTTGACTTCCATAGAGCCCAGAAATCTAACAAGAAAACTTTCTATGAATGCAGCATTGTCTATAGCTTCATCTAAGGCATCTATCACATCTGTTGCTGATTGGTCAAAAGGATTTATTCTCCTGAAAAAAGCAATATGATTGGTCAAATAGATTTAGTACAAACAATTTGATAGGTCAAGTGAGTGTGATTCCTTGCTATACCCAAAATATCAAGAAGAGGTTCATGATGGCCCTATATCGCTTACAAGAGTTTATAGGAAGTTATTTTTTATAAATAAAGGGAAATACAAACCCATCTTCCAAAATTTTGGTTCTCGGGCATCTATGAATCATTTAGTCAGTTACATCATAATCATATCATTTTGATCAAATTGACCAAATAGCTCAGAAGCTGCTTCAAGATAAGGAAGTATTGATTTACAGATGGTTAAACAATGGACAGTAAGCAACTTAAGCATATTGTGCTCTAATAAGCTAAAACCACAAGCAAATTTGATTGGTTTCAAATATTTCATCCCCTGAAACATGAAAATTGATTGTTCAAGCAGACGACACCATTCCTTGACCTTTATGTGTGACCTTATGTGTGATGTGATATGGATCTTATGCATAACACACTGTTTCATGATAGATAAACATTTCAGGCCAGTAATCTAAAAACTGATGAAGGAAAAACTTATAGAATGAAAACGAAAAATCCATTACCCTTTACACTTCAACAAAATCTTGTATTACTGACACATGGAGTAATGATGGTTCACATTACACTTATAAAAGTGATTGAAACACAAACTAGCAGTTAAGTGCAGTACATGAGAGAAAAATATGTTCAATTAATTTTAACTCTTCTAAAATGCAAAAGTGAAAGTTATATATATACATGTAGCTGGGTGTGATGTTAATTTTGTGCACTAATAACTCTAAATATTGCAAAATCATTCATTATACATTTAAAAGCACTTAATTTCATGAATTTTATAGGTTCCATGACAACATTTTTTGTAAATTCTCAAACATTTTCAAAAATGAGTGGGGGAAGTGTTTGAACTTGTACCAAATTTTCTTTTTTTAATATTTCACATTAAATTTCCTCTTAGTCATGCAAAACATTTTATAGGGGTTTGGTAATAGCACACATCTATCTAATACAGCATGCTTTAACAAAATAACTATCTGAATAATAACATATAACTCTCTCTTCATGGTTAGATAACATAGACATTGAGTAAACTATGCATGAAACAAAAGAGCACTAACTTTGGAGGTCCTGACTTATTCACTGTCGCCCCATTTTGATCCTCTGGCGAACAAAGGTCAAACTGTATAGGTGTGTCTGGCAGGTAGGGGCTGTTTGGCCCCGTTGACGGAGTTGGCGCCGCAGACTGGGTCTCACTCATAGCTTTACCACAGCTGGAGATATAATGGTATAAAAACACACTCTTATAACACAAACATGCCAATACACACACACACCGAGTCAGTGATCTTTTTTCTACATTAAATACAGGCTGAATATCAATTTTTTCCCAATTAACCAAATTTTCTTAAATTCCCAATAATTATTAAGCCTTGAAAGTAAAAGAAGTGGAGATTTCCATCCAAATTGATCGTCTTTTCCCAATTAATCAAATTTTGTTAAAAAAAAATCCCAATTTAACCTTAAAATGTGAAGATCCATGTTTCAAACCAGGTCAACTTTTAGTCAAAAGGCTTTTTTTTAATGAAAAACATCTTTCATAAATGTATCTTATCCCTAAAAGGTAAATGTTATTTGGTGACTTTGTTTCCCCCCCCCCAAATTTTCTTATGTTTATGCTAAAATTTCCTTATTTGAAAGACAAAGATTGTTGTTACAGAAAGTAAAAAAAATCACTGCAAAAATAAACTTTAAACATGCATGATACATTTTCCGTAGATCTGCTTATTGCAAAATATACTTACTTACCAAGTACCAAGCTGTTAGCATAGAAAAGCGTTTCCAAGCCAATGGGATAATGGTTTAATGGAAAAGTAATCAATAAATTCAAAGAAACATTTCTGTTTAATTTTAACCTCTTTTACTTATTGAAGCATGCAAATAACTGTATACAATACTCAATTTTTTACTAGGGATGGCAACGAATACCAAAATCAATACTCGAGTACTCGGTCATTTTTCCGATCGAGTACTCGGTTACTCGGATGATTTCAAATAATATTTAAAGTTTTATCACACAATATCAACACCGTCTGCATGCTACTTTCGTTTTCAATTTTAATTCATAGAATTCGTAACGATAAATAGGACTGCAAGAAAATACATATATAAATATAAACATAAGAAATGTCAATGACAGCATTTATTATATACCTACAAATTTTCTCCCTAAAATACAGGATGACTTTGAAGCGCAAATACACTTCAACGCACAAATACGCTTAAACGGATAGAAAAGTCCGTATTATGTTAGTGACAAATATGGTACCATATATGGAAGTGCGGACTATTTCTGACGTTGGTTCCGGATCTTAGCTGTGTATAAACGTAGCATTTGGAAACGGAAACCAAAATTATAAAAGGCATGTCCGGTTTTGATTCATCCGTCGGTCATAAATTGATTTCTTGACAGCTACATTTAATTTTCTGAAATTTCTTATAATGAAAATCATTTATAATTCAAACGAAAAGGTATTTAATAAAAGGAAAAATATCTTGTAGTAGCTTTCTGAGCCTATGCATTTTTTTACTCGCAATGTAGGAAAAGTGATATTTTGCTCGACCTTCGGTCTCGCGAGATATCAATTTTTCCACCGCTGCTCGTAGCAAAATACAAAGTTACAACATAATATTCCGTATATATTTACGTTTTTATAAGTAACAAGTTTCGGCTACAAACTGTCTAATATTAAAAGATGATTAAATATCATAAGAGGCCGAATGACGTAAACGACAGGACTGTGTTCAATCCCATACGCGTGTCAAACAGCTGATCGCCTCGTTAAATTTACAATATCATTTTCACACCTCTGCAAGGATGTTTTGATTGCATTTAAGAAGTATTTATACAGATACGTGTACATTCCCGAATTTCTGAACTAATCTTTCTAAATCGCAAAAAAAGTAGAAAATAAATATTTTTTTTCCGAGTAATCGAAAATCAATTTTGTTAACCGATATTCGGACGTTCGATCGAGTACTCGGTTAACCGGTTACTCGTTGCCATCCCTATTTTTTACTATACTAAACTATACAAAAATAATTCTCTGAATTCCTATATAATATATAATTCAACAAAAGTTAACCTTTTACTGCACAAAGGTGATGCTTTTTCATTTCTTATTTCAAATTATTGTCCTCTACTTAATAATGTATAGTTTCACATCATTTACAAAATCTGCTAAATTCTTAATTAGGGCATGCAATGATTTAATCATTTTTTAATGATGTATGCAACATGAGAATAAAATGGTGAAATTTAGTAAAATAAGCAGCAATTGTGTTTGAAAGCCAAGATAATCTGCAAACTGTATTAGATTAACAAGAGTATTGACTGATCTATCTTTATATTTTACATGCTTAACTGAGTCTAAATTTGTGGGGCAATCATAACCCATTAACTCTCTCTCCTTTTTTTTTTCTTACATCTAAGTAGTATAAATCTGTATAACATTTAACATAAGTACTTATATCATCTACTGACACCATACTGCTACCTCATCAAAATGTTTACTTATAATATCTACATTACCACACTGTTTATATATAACCATAAAGTTTATACTACATGTACAATATTGGTTTTATTACCATACAGTTTATATAACCATACAATGTACATACCATAAAGATTTACATCAAAATGGTTACATTGCTATGTTTATATTCAAATAATGGTTATATCACCATGTTTGTATTAATATAATGTATTTATCATCATAATGATTATATTACCAAGACTTGCTTGTATAACCAAACAAGAGCTGTCACAGGAGACAGCGAAGCTCGACTAATAAAATACTGGACGCAGTAAGGAGGACCAAACTATGAATCAAGGGGAATAATTCTAGAAATAGTCATGCTAGAGTTATGGACCTTGTCACACAACATTTGTGTAATGATAAGAAATATATATTTGAAGTTTGAAGTAGATATCTTAAAAAGTAAAGAAGTTATTATATTTCTTAAAGAAAATCCTAAGTTCAAAGGGAGATAAATCTGTAAATATTGCTTCAAGACTTATGAACATTGTCACATAAAATGTATTTGATGATTAGGAATAAGTATTTGAAGTTTGAGGTAGATACCTTTAAAAATAAAAAAGTTATAATAAAAAATAACATTTTTCTAGTAAAAAAATCTATGTTTATGGGGAGATAATTCTTGCAATATTGGTGCTAGAGTTATGAACCTTGTCACATAAGATGTGGATGATGATAACGTTAATATATTTGAAGTATGAAGTTGATCCCTTTAGAAATAAATAAGTAACAGTTAAAAAAATAATATTTTTTATGGAAAATTCTAAGTTCAAAGGGAGATAAATCTGAAAATATTGGTGCTAGAGTTATGAACCTTGCCACATAAGATGGGGAGGATGATAACGTAAATATATTTGAAGTATGAGGTTGATCCCTTAAGAAATAAAGAAGAAACAGTAAGAAATAGCATTTTTTTAGGAAAATTCTAAGTTCAAGGGGAGATAAATCTGAAAATATTGTCGCTAGAGTTATGAACCTTGTCACATAAGATGGGGATGATGATAAGGTACATACATTTAAAGTATGAGGTTGATCCCTTAAGAAATAAAGAAGTTACAGTAAAAAATAGTATTTTTTAAGGAAAATTCTATGTTCAAGGGGAGATAAATCTGAAAATATTGGTGCTAGAGTTATGAACCTTGTCACATAAGATGTGGTTGATGATAAGGAACATATATTTGAAGTTTGAAGTTGATACCTTAAGAAATGACAAAGTTATAGTGAAAAATATTTTACTGCACCAAAACTTTAATCTAAAATCTGGACGCGGACGCGGACGCGGACGCCGACGCCGACGCCGGGGCGAGTAGGACAGCTCTCCATATACTTCGTATAGTCGAGCTAAAAATTACCTGTTTATCTATAATGACAATTAATGAGTTTACTGAATCAAATGGTTTTCTTAATTTCAAACCTGAATATGTTTACTTTACAATGTAACATATATGAATCGGCAAAAGGAAAAACACAAACTTTATTTCCATGCAAAATTAAGTGGGTGGGGTAATCTAGGATACCTAATGAAAATTGGTGGTAATTTGTTTACCTTTCCTGTTCTGGTGAAGTATTTGAAGCAGATGATTTTTGACTAGATGTACTCTCTCCCCGCACCTGTATGGTAAAACAATATCTTATATTTAATACACTGATGAAGCCACCCATTCATTCATTGAAAATAATCCATAACTCCTAAATATTTTATTGCAATTTTGGAAATATTACATTGACCATACTGATAACATATGTGAGTTGGGTCTTGAGTCACATAAACACTAAAAAGATCGTATATTGAGTGCATGTGTGTGTACAGGTAGCAGAAAACTGTAGACCTGAAAGGACAAATCATGCATTTATTAAGGCATGCCTGGACGCATGAGAAGAGCCACTGGACCTGCCTTTAGCTAGCTTGATAGTTTCAAGTTCCTGACATGAAATACTGCAAATCCCTTTGGGGAGATTTCCAAAAAACCCAACCAAAAAAAACATTTTTAAAAAACACAAAAAAAGGAAAGGGGAAAAAAAAAAACAAAAAAATTTTTTGCCCATTTCTTCTTTTTCTGCTTTTTAACAATTTATTTATTTGGGAAAATTAAAAATTTTAAACACAGCAGTCTACCTATTTTAACAGGGTTCCCTTTTTGACTAAACTAAAAAATTTTCCCAAATTTCCCGGGAAATGACTGGGCTGCTTTTCCAACGGGTTTCTGAAATTTGCATTGGGAAAAACAAATTTACCATCAGAGTTTAAAGTCCCAGATCAAAATGTCCATTGAAATTTTGCCTTTACCCTCAATCTAACCATGATATACAACCCCCAGCCAAAATTTTTTATCTTTTGGACCAAAAGTGTAGGGATTTTTGCTCTGAGAATGAGAAATTTTTAAAAAATCCCTTTCTCACCCTTAAATTTGTTGATGTGGTTGGCACTTTCCCTCCTCGAACAAACCCGCTGTCTCTAACCACATTGTTTAATGTAGAAATCCACTGAAATATTAACATACAATTCCTTATAATCATACTATCATGGTTTTTAAAGAATCATTTCTAATATCAAAGGTCTATACTGAGAGCCAAGCAGATGAGCCTCTACCTTTAGGCCATAGGACACTGTTAAGAAAATTACCTATTTACAACAATGAAATATTATTAAAGACAATTGCTCTTACATTAGAAAAAGTACATTAACAAGAGGGCCATGATGGCCCTGAGTCCCTCACCAGAAACAACTGCTTTCCAGTGTTGGAATGTCAATATATTCTAATATTAAATTTGAGCATAGAATGCATGTTTAAACAAGAATTTGAAGAAATGCCATGACCTGGGGTATTTAAGCTTTAGCTTAAACAGGGCTAATCAAATTAATATGAGCAAACTTGATAAAAGACTACTTAAGAATGCTACAAAGTTTGGTGATCATCTATCAATTATTTCAGTAGGAAATGATGTTCAAAGGTTTTCTCTATTTTTCTATTTTTAGCTTTAGTGGCCCCTAAAAGGGGCTAATCAAATTAATATGAGCAAACTTGATAAAAGACTACCCAAGAATGCTACAGACAAAGTTTGGTGATCATCCATCAATTAGTTCTGTAGCTATAGCATTTAAATGAATATCAATTTTTAATTTTAGCGGCCCCTAAAAGGGGCCAATCAAAATAATATGAGCAAACTTGATTAAAGACTACCCAAGAATGCTTCAGACAAAGTTTGGTGATCATCCATCCATTAGTTCTGTAGAAATAAACATTTAAAGGTATTTCTATTTTTTGCTTTACTGGCCCCTAAAAGGGGCTAATCAAATGAATATGAGCAAATTTGATAAAAGACTATCCAAGAATGCTACAGACAAAGTTTGGTGATCTTCCATCAATTAGTTCTGTAGAAATAGACATTTAAAGGTATTTCTATTTTCAGATTTGCGGCCCCTAAAAGGGGCCAATCAAAATAATATAAGCAAACTTGATAAAAGACTACCTAAGAATGCTACAGACAAAGTTTGGTGATCATCCATCAATTAGTTCTGAAGAAATAGACATTGAAAGGTATTTCTATTTTTAGCTTTTGCTGCCCCTAAAAGGGGCCAATCAAATTAATATGAGCAAACTTGATAAAACACTACCCGAGAATGCTAATGATAAGGTTTGGAGATCATCTATCAATTAGTTCTGTAGGAGAACATGTTTTAAGGTTTTTCTATTTTTAGCCCTAGAGAACCCTAAAAGGGGCCAATCAAAATAATATTAGCAAACTTGATAAAAGACTACCCAAGAATGCTACAGACAAAGTTTGGTGATCATTCATCCATTAGTTCTCTAGAAATAGACATTTAACAGTATTTCTAATTTTAGCTTTAGCGTAAACAGGGCTAATCAAATTATTATGAGCAAACTTGATAAAAGACTACCCAAGAATGCTACAGACAAAGTTTGGTGATCATCCATCAATTAGTTCTGTAGGAGAAGATGTTTAAAGGTTTTTCTATTTTTAGCCCTAGAGACCCCTAAAAGGGACAATCAAAATAATATTAACAAACTTGATAAAAGACTACCTAAGAATGCTACAGACAAAGTTTGGTGATCATCTATCAATTAGTTCTCTAGAAATAGACATTTAACAGTTTTTCTATTTTTAGCTTTAGTGGTCCCTAAAAGGAGCCAATCAAATTAATATGAGCAAACTTGATAAAACACTACCCAAGAATGCTACAGACAAAGTTTGATGATCATCCATCAATTAGTTCTGTAGGAGAAGATGTTTAAAGGTTTTTCTATTTTTAGCCCTAGAGACCCCTAAAAGGGACAATCAAAATAATATTAACAAACTTGATAAAAGACTACCTAAGAATGCTACAGACAAAGTTTGGTGATCATCTATCAATTAGTTCTCTAGAAATAGACATTTAACAGTTTTTCTATTTTTAGCTTTAGTGGCCCCTAAAAGGAGCCAATCAAATTAATATGAGCAAACTTGATAAAACACTACCCAAGAATGCTACAGACAAAGTTTGGTGATCATCCATCAATTAGTTCTGTAGGAGAAGATGTTTAAAGGTTTTTCTATTTTTAGCCCTAGAGACCCCTAAAAGGGGCCAATCAAAATAATATTAACAAACTTGATAAAAGACTACCTAAGAATGCTACAGACAAAGTTTGGTGATCATCCATCTATTAGTTCTGTAGAAATAGACGTTTAAAGGTTTTTCTATTTTTAGCTTTCGCGGCCCCTAAAAGGGGCCAATCAAATTTATATGAGCAAACAAGAATGCTACAAACAAAGTTTGGTGATCATCCATCCATTAGTTCTGTAGAAGAAGATGTTTAAAGGTTTTTCTATTTTTAGCCCTAGAGACCCCTAAAAGGGGCCAATCAAATTAATATGAGCACACTTGATAAATGACTACCCAAGAATGCTACAGACAAAGTTTGGTGATCATCCAATCATTAGTTGTGTAGAAGAAGATGTTTAAAGGTTTTTCTATTTTTAGCTCTGCTGACCCCTAAAAGGGGCCAATTGGAATGACATGAGCAAATTCAAGTGTGACTGTCACAAGGATGCTACAGACCAAATTTGAAGTAAATCTGTCCAGTAGTTTCAGAGAAGAAGACCATTGTTGACGCATGACGATGGACGATGGACGCCGGAGCATCCCCCTTTGATACTAATAGCTCACCCTGAGCCTTCGGCTCTGGTGAGCTAACAAACAAAATGATATCATTATCTTACCTCATCTCTTTCTCTCTCATTTTCAGCTTGCAACACAACCATTCTGTAAAAATATTATAATGTATGATTTCATTTAAATCATTTTCATATCTGAATCTTAATATAATTTCATTCACTCTTCTGAATTTCAAAGTCTTGAAGGCTGTTAAATCTCTTGAGTTTCAAGCAATTTTTGAACAACAATGAAAAATAATGTAAAAGCTACAGCTGCATGCAAACACATGAGTTAAATGACAGGTATTCATTGTTAGGGAAAATTTTGAGTAAGTACTGACCGAGTAGTGGCAAGTGCAGACCATGATCAAAACAGCATAGATGTACTGTCTAATCTTGGACTGCACTGGACGCGTGGGAATATTCAGTTGCCACCCGAGCCGGTTTATGATTAAAATAAAGTTGGAGGTGTGTTGCTTTAACATTAAGAAGGGGTGATGATTGGATTAGAAAAATGTCAAATACCTTCGATGTTTTGCGGTAGAAATTTGAAAGACATTTCTTCGGTCATCAGCATCTGTCGGTTCAGCAAACACGCCCTCGTCATTGAGATCCAGGACAAGACTACCAGCAACCTTAATATAATAATACATCTTAAAATTAACAAGGGAGGTAACTCAATGTCTAGGGAGGTAACTCAATGTCTAACACATTATCTTACCTGTAACCCTTCACATACCTGGTACATTTATACATAATACATGTACTGCAAAATCATTATTATCTGTGAAGCACTATTTTATATTGATTTTGTGGATAGGTCAATCCACAAATTGAAGACATTTTTGTCTGCTGTAAAAATTTTTGCATCACATTAGGTATTTACATTCAACCTTTTTGGAAAATAAACAGTCCATGCTTCTAAGTACCCATGAAAATGTTCTTTGTGACAAAACACAAAATTGCATGTTCATGAAATTAAGTGACATATCATCTTGTCTTTTGATTTATTTTGAAACTGTAAAAGTATCAATTAAAGGGATTTTAATATCAAAAACCTAAAACTGAGCTAATTGAAATTATTATTTGTACAGAGCTCTAGAATGGAAGCAAAGGCCTGTCTAACTGCAGCTGGCATTAGCAGTTAAATATACATAATCCATACCGCCAAATAAAATCATGCTTAAGCTAAAACATAATATTAAATACAATTATCAAGAAAATTAATTATTGGTGTGGTTTTTCTTTTAATAGGCAACAAAAATGTTCTTCGGAAAAATTGCAAGCTGTAATGCCATGCTTCAAATAATAAATGCTACAATACAAATTTGTTGATACAATGTACATCCAAGAAGTCGGACAAAATATGCTTAAAATGCTGTGTTCCGTAGCATTTTTGCTACCAAAAGAAATGCCAATTAAGATACAATATTTTAAATCAGATTTACTATCTCCCAATAAAATATTATTGCATCTAAAAATTAATTACCATGACTAATCAAACTCTTAACAAGCACCTAAAATTTTAATATATAGGCACATAAAACTATAATTGTCTTAAAGGGATTCTCAGGCAAATTAATAACAAACAATTATTAAAATGATCTTATGTACTAAAATGATATTTTTTAAAGTCCCAGCATGAATTTCTGAATTAATTCTATATATTTTGGGTTTAAAACATTAATATACCTACAAGGTATATATGTTGAACAAAATTTAGAGGCTGACAGAGTCACCAAGTAGTTTTAAAACAAGTCATGTGACTTGAACAAACCCTGGAAGTTACAGTAACAGATATTGTGGACATTGTATGATTGAAACAAGTCTAAATCATTCATTTGAAATATTCTTTAATGTTTCCAGAGTTCACTGTGACAACTATTGTGGAATCTTAACGCTCTAACCTGACCCACTTAGGTCAAGTTAGGAAACCACCATTTTATTCTTTATAAGGAGACCAGTTTTGTTCCTGTGACTGCCTAGTGTATTCAATTAGAGGATATTTATAGAATAATGAATGAACAATTCAAAAAGAAGAAATAAAAATGTTGCCTGTGTCTCCCTTAAATGGTTTGAAAATGATAAAGAGGAAATTCACACAAAATGGTTTGATTGACTGTATTTTAACACGTGTAGAAATTTTGGTCATATCTGGGCTGTCGATCCCCCAAATAGTTTCCCTGGATAACTAACCAGTGATTGCCAATTTCATCGCAAGTGACGGACTACTAACCATACATGATATCTGAATCAGCTGTGAGAGACAAAAGAGTGTAAGACTCAATATTTAAGACAAATTGTCATTGGTAAACTTCAATTCACCAAATTTCTATCATTGCTGATATTGTGATGTTCAGGCCAATACGTTATCACATAAGTGTAAGTGAAAGTTTGTTCAGCTTCTTTATATTGCATTAATTCTGTTACATATTCCTGTTCTCAGATGGTGCTGAAGATCTTGTTTTTGTTTTGTTTGTTTTGGGTTTTACGTCACATCGACACAGTATAGGTCATATCGCGACGTTCCAGCTTTACTGGTGGAGGAAGACCTCAAGTGCCCTTCCGTGCATTATTTCAGACACGAACGGGTACCTGAGTAGAACCACCGACGTTCCGTAAGCTAGCTGGATAGCTTCCTCACATGAAAGATTTCAAAGTCCCTGTCGGGATTCGAACTCACAGCGGTTACGGGCAAGTGATTTGAAGTCAACGACCTTAACCACTCGGCCACGGACGCCCCAAGATCTTGTTTAACCTTCATATTGTCACCACTGTGACTGCTGAATTGTGACTGGTTTTTTCTCATCCAAATAAACAGGAATAACAATGAGGATAGCCTAACAGTTTATGAGATACAGTTGGTGTAGATGAACCTGGGAAGTTCAAGGATTGACAAAGGAATGGCTGGTCTTGAAAGTCAAAGACCCTGCTTTTCTGTGGGGGGAAAATGAGCTTTGTTTACAAATGATCAGTGCACTTTTAATATAAGTTATTTGTCCAGAAATAATTACATTGGTACTATGATGGCGTAAAAACATGCACAAATTTATGAAGAAATGTGCTATAATGACTTTTATATGTATTCATAATAAGGAAATCAAATAAAAATACTTAAAATTCATGCAATAAAAAGCCATTGCGCAGAAATATAACTTTCTGCCCACAAAAATTATTTACAAACATCTGTCCACCAACATTTAACCATATAATGATCAAATTAATAATGATCTGATTATTCTTTAAATTTGAACAATCTAGTTCAGTGGTTATCAATAAAACATTTTTCTGTAAGATTTTGTGCTTTGGAATTATATTACCTATTAAGGCTATATTGGAAATATAATTTCAGTTGTGTAATTGTAGTACTATCTGTTTGATAATATAAAGGGGAGGTAAAAATTGTGTGCAAATCTACAATAAAATGTGTGCTAGGGAGTTAAATAAATTAGCACATACCTTTCCTTTCTAAATGTTACATGATAGAGTGATACAAGCATGTGAGAATATTATATATTGATCAAAGCTTCAATGCAGTGAAATTCCATAACAATCAAGACAAAAGAAAACTTTAAAGGGCATAGATTGTCCCCACAATCCACTGTTTTGTCAGTCTCCAGATGGACAACATTACAGTTCGAAAAAGCAAATCTATATGCCCCCACATAAAAACTATTTAAGAGTTAGGAACATACAAATCATATTGAATGAATTTGACTGTGAAAAATCCATTTTTCCTACACTGTTCAAAGCAAACATTAATTGTATCATGCATAGTGTAAACAGAAAGTGCCATCAAACAATACATGGTGTTATACATTCATGTTTAATTAATTTTTTTTTTTTAATCCAAGCCAAGATTTCTTCAAAATCGCACTCTCCCACCAACCAGCTATCTGATATTTCAATTCTGTTCATCACATTTTAATTTAGATTAATTTTACTTATATCACCTTTCTTAACATTTCCCTACATAAAACCTAGCAAATAAGAATTGAACTGAGGATATATTAAGCTTTTTCTACCAGTTATAAAAAGTACCATTTAGAAACTCACATGTAATATTAGTATGAAGCAATTTAAATAATAAGTCAATAAGAATTACAATGCCATATATTATGTTAGAAAGAAGTAATTGATTAATGAAGGGATAAAACTGTACTGTTTTCTATAATATAGACTGGGAATAATATCATACCTCATCTCTCGACTGACTCATCAAATTTCCACCTTGCGTAAAGAAGAAACATCTGTCCCACTTGTTACCAATCAACTGTTTACTGTAATATATATGTGTGCAGAGTGAATATAGTAATAAACTTCTACACAGAAAACTTGGACAAAAAATCATATACTATTATGGTTAATTGATAATCCTCATTGTATGTAAAGATGTCACACATACTCAGTGTAAGAAATTAGGATTTGAATCGACTAGGCTGGTCGGACTACCAGATTGGAATATTCACTAGCCCAAAAGACATTTCACTAGCACAATTTGTTTGTTCAAAACAGTTGTTTATATTGCCTTTGAAAATACAGTAGCCTGGTCGGGCTTGTTACTGTGAAAAGTTGGTAGCCCGAGGAGATATTTAGTAGTCAGGGGCTATAGGACTACTGCTAATTTCGAACACTGCATACTGTAATGTTCATGACTGACACATTAACAGTTGAGCAAGAAGAACCATAATTCTTTCAATAGCAAGTTAGATTACCAAAGCTTCCACACATGGAAATTTTTAATGTTTTTCTTAAAGCTACATACCTCCAGATGAGTAAAAATATTTCAATAAAATGAAACTTGAGAAAAACGTACTAAGATGCAAGGAAAAATAAAATGTTTCAAGATTCAAGTAATATTTTGCATGTCATGTACGATTAATGACTGATATTTTTCAGTATTTACAACTATATTTCTACTGTGTTACTAACGCAGTAAAGGCTATTTATGCATATTTTGACCATGTTTTGGTAATTTAAGTGGTTTTTAAGTGCCAATGACAATGTGTAAATTGCTTTCGTTTGGTTACTTCACAATATTACACATTCAAATACATTTCCAAAATTTTCATGACAATTAGCATGAATCTGGAGGCATGCTGCTTTAAAGTGGTCATCACAGGCAGTAGATAAAAGAGTTTAATTTCTGTTTATTCAAGAAAAGTTCAAGTTAAAATATATAGGCTTTTAAAAAAAAGGTACAGTAATAGCAAGTAACAAGTGATTGAAATCGAAAGACATAGTATACACTGAATTGTAATGGTACAGTGATTTTACAGTGCATATCTACTGCGTGGTGAGTAATCTTAAACAAGCATTTTATGAACATCATTGAATAAATAGAACACAGGAATTACTAAATTGTTAAAGGCCATTATCTTTCCTTGTTATTTTAACAATGTTATATTTTCATAAAATTTGTTTTCATTTTCTTTAAATTTTCCTCATAACGATCTTTATAAATAGATACAACTGTATCCTTCATACCCTGATAAAGAAGACTACAACAGTCAGAAATCATACATTTTAGAACAAAATTAAAACATTTCATCTCCAACAGTGATCATGATATTTTAGCTTTAGACACAGGTGGTAAAAGTTATCACAAAAAACAAGCTATGCTAAATATCAAAATTTATTCTCAGAAGAAAAAAATCAATGCTCTAAAGCCATTGCTCAATTTTCCTAAATTTATTTTTTGCCTTACCTTCATTGGATTTATTTTGCCTTACCTTCGTAGGAACAAGTATCCTGATTTTTGAGCTAGATTGATATTGGGTGGTATGTAAGGCATGTTGATAGGGGGTTCAGCATGATACATGTGTAAACTTTGTTGTTCCAGGCTGTCTATCAAGTCAACTGTCTTCTTTGTTTCTACCTGTAACTCCGACTGTACTCTGTAAATTAAACAAGTTTAATAATTGTATGTCTTATTTCTTCTAAATGTATGTTTTATTTCTCCTTTATGTGCGTCTTACTTCTTCCAAATGCATGTCTTAATTCTTATAAATGAATGTCTAATTTCTTCTAAATGTATGTCTTATTTTGCCTAAATGAATGTCTTATTTCTTCTAGATGTATGTCTTATTTCTCCAATATGTATGTCTTATTTCTTCTAAATGTATGTCTTATTTCTTCTAAATGTATGTCTTATTTCTTCTAAATGTACTTATTTCTTCTAAATATATGCCTTATTTCTCCCAAATGCATGTCTTAATTCTTATAAATGAATGTCTTATTTCTTCTAAATGTATGTCTTATTTCTCCTTTATGTGCGTCTTACTTCTTCCAAATGCATGTCTTAATTCTTATAAATGAATGTCTTATTTCTTCTAAATGTATGTCTTATTTCTCCTTTATGTGCGTCTTACTTCTTCCAAATGCATGTCTTAATTCTTATAAATGAATGTCTAATTTCTTCTAAATGTATGTCTTATTTTGCCTAAATGAATGTCTTATTTCTTCTAGATGTATGTCTTATTTCTCCAATATGTATGTCTTATTTCTTCTTAATGTATGCCTTATTTCTTCTAAATTTATGTCTTATTTCTTCTAAATGTACTTATTTCTTCTAAATATATGCCTTATTTCTCCCAAATGCATGTCTTAATTCTTCTAAATGTATGTCTTATTTCTTCTAAATGTATGTCTTATTTCTCCTTTATGTGCGTCTTACTTCTTCCAAATGCATGTCTTAATTCTTATAAATGAATGTCTTATTTCTTCTAAATGTATGTCTTATTTCTCCTTTATGTGCGTCTTACTTCTTCCAAATGCATGTCTTAATTCTTATAAATGAATGTCTTATTTCTTCTAAATGTATGTCTTATTTTGCCTAAATGTATGTCTTATTTTTTCTAAGTGTTTGTCTTATTTCTTCTAAATGTATGTGTTATTTCTTCTAAATGTACTTATTTCTTCTAAATATATGTCTTATTTCTCGCAAATGTATGTCTTAATTCTTCAAGGTTTAAACAAAGTACATGTCAATCTACATTTTAAAGTATTTAACAGGGACTGAAAATCATTTATCATTTCACTCCATCTGCATTTACATTCTGAAAAACATTCTGAAAAACTGTTTAGTTATGTGCCTACCCTTTTGTTTTTCCTATGCACTTTTAGCCACATACAAGATAAACAAGCCATATAACAAGAGCTGTCGGTAGGACAGCAACGCTCGACTATTCTTAGTGCTTGATAGTAAAAAAAATGCTTGATACAGTTACCTCCTCCTGTTGACAGGTTGGGGTCATGATGGTGAACAAGTGTGCAAAGTTTCAAAGCCATATGTCAATGGACTTTGAAAATATTTGAACTATTACAAAAACTTTAACGTAAATTCTAAGTCGAAAAAGGGGCATAATTCTGTCAAAATGCTTGATAGAGTTACCTCCTCCTGTTTACAGGTTGGGGTCATGATGTTGAACAAGTGTGCAAAGTTTCAAAGCCATATGTCAATGGACTTTGAAAATATTTGAACTATTACAAAAACTTTAACGTAAATTCTAAGTCAAAAAAGGGGCATAATTCTGTCAAAATGCTTGATAGAGTTACCTCCTCTTGTCTACAGGTTGGGGTCATGATGGTGAACAAGTGTGCAAAGTTTCAAAGCCATATGTCAATGGACTTTGAAAATATTTGAACTATTACAAAAACTTTAACGTAAATTCTAAGTCGAAAAAGGGGCATAATTCTGTCAAAATGCTTGATAGAGTTACCTCCTCCTGTGTACAGGTTGGGGTCATGATGTTGAACAAGTGTGCAAAGTTTCAAAGCCATATGTCAATGGACTTTGAAAATATTTGAACTATTACAAAAACTTTAACGTAAATTCTAAGTCGAAAAAGGGGCATAATTCTGTCAAAATGCTTGATAGAGTTACCTCCTCTTGTCTACAGGTTGGGGTCATGATGGTGAACAAGTGTGCAAAGTTTCAAAGCCATATGTCAATGGACTTTGAAAATATTTGAACTATTACAAAAACTTTAACGTAAATTCTAAGTCGAAAAAGGGGCATAATTCTGTCAAAATGCTTGATAGAGTTACCTCCTCCTGTCTACAGGTTGGGGTCATGATGGTGAACAAGTGTGCAAAGTTTCAAAGCCATATGTCTATGGACTTTGAAAATATTTGAACTATTACAAAAACTTTAACATAAGTGGTTACGCCGACGCCGACGCTCGGGTGACTGCAATAGCTCTACTTATTCTTATCGAATAGTCGAGCTAAAAAGAAAGAATTAACTTGCCAAATTAACAAAATGGATTAAGTGAATTTATATTTGTCCAAGTTTTCTTAATTATCCTAGCATTTATTTGGACAATATTGAGAAAGGGTTCTTACAAGCTGCCTCTAAAGTTGATTAAACCACTGAATATAATTTTTATTAATATACATGCACGAATTAGAGAGTGACATGAATAGACTTATTTAAGAGTTATCTTCAGTTTTCCTGGTAATGGCAGATTAAGACATATCTAATAGACAAACAGACCCATAAACACATATAAACTTTACAAATTCAATTCAATGTTTAGATCATCTAATCTCAAAAAGGACTATTTATTCGACTCACCCCTGAATACTTGTACTGATATTTTGCAGAAAATCCTCCATCTCTGGTTTACAAACTGTTTCTTGTCCCATGCTGAAATAAGCCCTCTGTGAATGTAGGTAACCAATTATCGGCTCCAGAAGGAAACATTTCCTCTTGTATTGTAATGCATTTAAGGCAGAATAGTAATGCAAAGAAGTCTGAAATAACAGAAATATATATTTGTACTTTAGTTTAACATATTCAATTCTATCTTAGTTGTCCTGCAACTGCAAACGTGTAGCTTATATGAACTATTTTTGAGTTGGTTCCTGAAACCTTTTATATTTTATGTTTTTGGATGGGTTTAACCTCACACCAATACAGTATATGTTATTAGGCAACTTTCCATCTTTACTGGTTGAGGAAGACCTCAGGTGTTCTTCTGTGCATTATTTCAACCAGAAATAGGCACCGCAGGAGAATCACTGACATTCTGTAAGCGATCTAGACAGCTTTCTCACATGAAGAATCCAAAGAAGCTGGCGCAGCCCGAACCTGCAGTGGTGACAGGCAAGTGGTAACCACTCAACCACTTACACCCTAAAACTAACCAATACTGGTGTAAAATGTGGACCTTAGTAAGAACCGAAAAATCCCTGGATATATTTGAAAGTAATAATTCAGTGGATGTTAGCACATAAATGCCAGGTGATCTTGGTCTGCACTGATTGCAAGGGTATAATTACTTTAGTTACTGTCTGCAGGCTCTGATTTAATAATCAATGTCCAGATGAGACATATACATATTTTTAATCTTAGTCATACAATGAAAAATAATCACTTAACAGACACTTTAAAGAACTTATTCCTAAATGACATTAGGTAACAGCTGTATATAGAGATGGTAATAAAACAAGAGACATCCATTAATCATCATACTAGTATACAAATGCATATCCCTGCAATATGCACATATCATTTAATTCTAATATAAACTAGAACTATCACTAAATGTGATTAATACCCCCACAAGTCTGCTTCGGAAATGAGGATGTTACTAGTAACAGAATACCTTGTAAAAGAATTGAAACATAGAGTTATGGTTGTGGGCAAATAAAGATAATTGTGGTTCATGTATGTTGCATTTCCTTTCAATGTGGTTGGCCTTTGATGAAGTTTAATTGAATTACTCTGTAATAAGTCCAGAAAGACAAAGAAAAAGAACAAAGGGCAATAACTCTATAAATACTGAAGATAGAGTTTTAGTTCTTGTGCACTGCACTTCCTCTTATTGTGCTTGACCATTGTATGAAGTTGTTTTGAATTCCAACCAGTACGTTTTAAGTTATGCTCCAGACAAGGAAAAGTATCAAAGGGCAGTAACTCTGTATTTTGTCAAAATGGAGTTATGGCTCTTGTGCACTGCACTTCCTTTGAATGTCCTTGACAACTGTATGAAGTTGTACTGAATTCCAAACAGTAGTTTTCAAGTTATGCTCTGGACAAGGAAAAGTAACAAAGGGCAATAACTCTGTAATTAGTCAAGACTGAGTTATGGTTCTTGTGCACTGCACTTCCCCTTATTGTGCTTGACCATTGTATGAAGTTGTTTTGAATTCCAACAATAAGTCTTCAAGTTATGGTCTGGACAAAAGAAAGCAATGGAAAAGTAACAAAGGGCAATAACTCTGTAATCAGTCAAGCTGGATTTATGGTTCTTGTGCACTGCACTTCCCCTTATTGTGCTTGACAATTGTATGAAGTTGTTTTGAATTCCAACCAGTAGTTTTAAAGTCATGCTCTGGACAAGGAAAAGAAACAAAGGGCAGTAACTCTGTAATAAGTCAAAATGGAGTTATGGTTCTTGTGCACTGCACTTCCTCTCAATGTGCTGGACCATTGTATGAAGTTATAATGAATTCCAACAATTACTCTTCAAGTTATGGTCCGCACAAAAGAAAGCAATGGAAAAGTAATAAAGGGCAATAACTCTGTAATTACTTTAGATAGAGTTATGGTTCTTATGCACTGCACTTCCTCTCAATGTGCTTGACCATTGTATGTAGTTATATTGAATTCCAACCATTAGTCTTCAAGTTATGCTCCGGACAAAAAAAAGAAGGCAATTGAAAAGCAACAAAGGACAATAACTCTGTAATTACTTTAGATAGAGTTATGGTTCTTGTGCACTGCACTTCCCCTTATTGTGTTTGACAATTGTATGAAGTTGTTTTGAATTCCAACCAGTAGTTTTCAAGTTATGCCACGGACAAGGAAAAGTAACAAAGGGCAATAACTCTGTAATTAGTCAAGATAGAGTTATGTTTCTTACGCACTGCACTTCCTCTCAATGTGCTTGACCATTGTATGTAGTTATATTGAATTCCAACCATTAGTTTTCAAGTTATGCTCCGGACAAGGAAAATGCAACGGACGTCTGGACCGACCGACCGACCGACCGACCGACCACCGGGTGACTCCTATATACCCCCCCAAACTTCGTTTTTGGGGGTATAATTATTCATTTTAACCTATGTATTCAACATCCATTTATGTGAACTCTCCCACTTTTAGGGGGGGGGGGGGGGGGGGGTGACGACTCCCACTTTCTACAATCATAATTTCAAAGATTTTTCTCAAAATAAGGGGTATTTTTAAAAATTAAAGATTAAAGAAATCTCCCAATTTTTGATGTCAGACCTTCGTTGTTTATTATAATTTTAAAATCTCCCTCTTTTTAAAGAAAATCTCCCAATTGATCATCCAAAAAAGTTCACATGATGTTACATCATGAAATTAAAACAAAATGAGCCGCGTCACAACAAAACCAACATAATAGGTTTGCGAACAGCATGGATCCTGATCAGACTGAGCGGATGCGCAGGCTGGTCTGGATCCATGCTGGTCGCAAACCCAATATGTTGGTTTTGTCGTGACGCAGCTCAAATATTGATTTATCTTAAACAGTGAAAAACATTCAGAAGCATTTAAGTAATACACATTGTAATCATTTATTCTGGTAAAAATATACCAATAGCGGATGCATTGGGACCAACATATATTTAAGTGACCTTGACCTCTTATCTAGAAAATAGGTCAAGTTTATAGGTAACAGAATGATGTTAAATTATGAAATACAATAAAATGTACAGAAGATCACTGTTCAAATAGTATCTTCAGTTTTGATGAAACAAAAAATAATTTCTTAATTATGCACCGCTGTTGTAAAATATTCTTTGAATAAAGTTTTTTTTCTCTGTATTCAGTGTAGTACAGCTGTAGAGACCTCCTAATTGACAGATGGACATGGATGATCAATAATTCAGCAGCTGAGACTGTATATAGCTGTTTCTCCTATTTTCTAGACTGGTACATTGATATTCTGCCAAATTAGTCTGCACTTAAAGTTAATTGTGTCTTCCAGTCTCTCCTGTAAAATCACTTCCTGTCAAGTCAGTTAACAATGATATATTGTTTCTGTAGAGATATCAGACACAGGTCATGCCAGTAATGATAGAATTACAGAGAGAGTAGATACTTAATCCCTGACTTACAGTCATGTTTCAATGTAAAGTATAGAAAGTTACTTTGTGACTCTTAATTCTGTAATAAAACACTTCTTTTTGGAGAAATTCAGAATAAAAAGAAAATTTTCAAACTCTATATAAAACAATAATTAGTTTTTACACCAAGAAATTTTAGAAAAGAACACAGTCCTGAAATTGTGTTTCTTTCTTTATAAATTATAACAAATCTGAATTTTAGAATTAAAATTGTTCAACATATCCAGTATTTTTAGAACACACATACAACTATAATACATGTAATAACAATTTTTTGATATATATCTTAAAGTTTGACCTTTCTAGTTTTTGAGCAGTGAAAAATTGAGCCACAATTTTTTTATTCTTTACTGGGTTAACTGTTCACCAACAGTATCACAAACTAGAACTCCGCGAGTCGGATGTGTCGCCTTGTGAACAATGTAGTTTAGGAGAAATGGCCAGGACAAAAATGAAATATGAAAAACAACAAAGGGCAATAACTAAAAAAATAATAAGTGCAGAGCAGCATATCTGTGCACTGAATTTCTTATCAATAAGATCTATCATTCTATGATGTTTCAAGTCCATAGCTTTCATACTTGAGGAGAAATGACCAGGACAAAAATAAAGTAAGAAAATCAACAAAGGGCAATAACTCAAAAATTAAGAAATGCAGAGTATCGATTCTTGTGCACTGCACTTCTTCTTAATGAGATCTATCATCCTATGAAGTTTCAAGTCCATAACTTTTATTCTTTCGGAGAAATGGCCTGGACAAAAATTAAGTATGAAAATCAACAAAATGCCATAACTCAAAAATTAAGAAATGCAGAGTACCGATTCTTGTGCACTGCACTTCTTCTTAATGAGATCTATCATCCTATGAAGTTTCAAGTCCATATCTTTTATACTTAAGGAGAAATGGCCCGGACAAAATTAAAGTATGAAAATAAACAAAGGGCAATAACTCAAAAAAACAAGAAATGCAGAGTACCTGTTCTTGTGCACTGCACTTCTTCTTAATGAGACCTATCATCCTATGAAGTTTCAAGTCCATGGCTTTTATACATTAGGAGAAATGGCCCGGACAAAAATTAAGTATGAAAATTAACAAAGGGCAATAACTCAAAAATTAGGAAGTGCAGAGTACCGGTTCTTATGCACTGCACTTCTTCTTAATGAGATCTATCATCCTATGAAGTTTCATGTCAATAGCTTTTTTAGTTGAAGAGATATGGCCCGGACAAAATTAAAGTATGAAAATTAACAAAGGGCAATAACTCAAAAAATAAGAACTGCAGAGTACCAGTCCTTGTGCACTGCACTTCGAGTTATTGAAAGAAGCATGCATACCAAGTTTGAAGTCAATCAGACTTATAGTGACTGAGTTATGCTCCGGACAAGCTTTAAGGGACGACGACAACGACGCCGACACAGACGCCGCCGACGAAAGTAACCCCTATATGTCACCTTTTCAAGGCGACACTTTTTGCCGTTGGAAAGCCATATCTTAAGTAGCCTCACACAATATATCTACGGTACATACCTGGTGATATTTTTTTCGCATCATATACAGCTCCTCGTTGGCATCCTGACAATCTTTCTTCTTTGGAATTTTCATAAATTTTATCATAGCATGCTCATGTTCTGTAACATAATATTACAACATTATAACATATAAACATAGCTACCTAATGATAATTTTACACAGGTTTATAGTATGTAAAAGAAAAGTCGAAAATAGTTCATAACATTTTTACTCCATTAATATTTTACATCTTTTTTTTATAAATATTTTATTTACAGGCAAAATACAACAACTAATTAATAAGCCATGGAACTTACCATGAGTTGCTATTTGGAACATTTCATACATTGTTGAGATTTCTGAAATAAAGAAAGGTTGACGTAATGTATTTACCCTTAACATACTGGAGCTATAAGTGATTAGCCTTTGCTTTACCAGTAAAGAAACAAGCTTGCCTACATAGTCCTGCAGTCTTAAACCAGGCTCTACACAATTGGCTTACTAACTTTGAATACCCCTTAAATTAAACTGATGGAGCCCTATGACAGTTAATGCCTGAATCTCTTTCAAAAGATGCTGTACAGTAATTATGTATAAACAGTGCCATTCCATAATCAGACACAAGGGGCCTATAGAAATCTTAGTGGCAAGTCTGTAGATTATTTTGCTTAATTCCTGATACATAACTTTACTATGTCTTGGAACAATAAATGCTATTTATGATAGAAAATGAGAACTGTTTAAAGATATTAACAAACATTGCTTATTTTAAAATTATATAAGGCATTTTTATATAAAGTATACATTACAATGACAGACTACTTACACTATATGAGTAAAAGCATGATATTTTGAATTGGTTAACTAACTTACCATCTAGGTCAGCCTGGATAGCTTTTGTCATTGGATACATCATTGTTTCAGAGAACTGTGCTGATAACACTTGCTGTAGTGAACTAATCTGTAAACATACCAAATTATCTTATATTATTATAACTACTTTCCCTAGGTTCCAGTCTGTCGACTTTTTCATGTGCTTCTGTTTGGCAAATCAACATTGATATTATCAAAAACATAAATGAGTATGAAATGGCGCGTATTTTATGAATAAGCAAAACATATCAACGCGTGAATCCCAGGCTTATAACTACTTTACAAATGAAAACGTTGGATCACCATGGATACAATCTCGCAGATGGATAGTCGCCTATGACCTGACAATGTTTTAATCATAGCCTTACTATCAAGAAAATCTATTTTTAGCCCGAGTAACCTTGACCTTAATACTTAACCCAAGGATCAATTTATGGTATCAATACATTAAGAATAAGTGCAGTTGATATGTTCTACAGTAAGTGAATGTGTGACAAAATTAATTTTTTAATTATTGAATACTAAAATGCATTAAAACATCAGCAACAGAAATGATCTTATCTTTAAAAATCCTTGAAAATGCAGGAAATTTTAAGTTAAAACAAGAACGTGTTTGTTAAACACAAATGCCCCCAGCTCAGATTCTAGTCAGTAACAATATTTAAAATAAAGGCTGTATGGGCAAAAGTGTAAAAAATCTATTTTTAGCACTGGTGACCTTGACCCAACTGACCCCTAACTCCATCCAAAGGAAGAATATCATGCAACTTATTTTCCTACCAAATATGAAATAAATCTGTCAATATATAAAGGCTGTATGGGCAAAAGTGTAAAAATCTATTTTTAGCACTGTTGACCTTGACCCAACTGACCCCTAACTGCATCCAAAGGAAGAATACCATGTAAGTTATCTTCCTACCAATTATAATACAAATATCTGTCAATAAATAAAGGCTGTATGAGCAGAAGTGTAAAAATCTATTTTTAGCACTGGTGACCTTGACCCAACTGACCCCTACCTCCATCCAAATGAGAATACCTCAATTTTATGTTCCTACAAGATATACAAGACATCTGTCGATAGAATAAGGTTAATACACCTGTAAAAGTGTAAAAATCTATTTTTGACATTGGTGACCTTGACCCAAATGACCCCTTAATAAAGGAAAAGGAAGAGGACCTCCCTTGGTATGACTATTATAAACATGAAAGACATTAACTTAAAAATAAAGGCTGTATGAGCAGAAATGTTTAGATTTATTTTTTTACACAATTGACCTTGACCTAGAGACGCCTAACGCCACAAAAAATTAGAGGACTGTTAAAGGTATCCACCTACCAAGTATGAAAGATATCATTAAATAAATTAAGTAATTAGGTGAATTTTTTTGATAAATTCAACTTGGTGGAATAGGTTAACCAATAACCATACAAGGCCCTATTTTCAAAGTGAAAAAAATGGGAAATTACTGGGAAAATGGATGGCACATTAATATAACTTGGCAATATCTGATGTACATTGTATTGATAAGTAAGTGTGAAAATTATTAAGCCATGAGTTCAGATAGAACAGAAGATATTTCCAACTTGCCGTTTTAGGTTAACCATTATTCATTTTCTAAGTGCTGAAAAGGGCCATAACTTGGTGCAAATGGAAGCCATAGTTATGTAACTTGCCCAGATCATATACTTTGTATGGATTAGTAAGTGTGTAAATTATGAAGCCATTGGTACAGGTAGAACTTAAGAAAAATCCAACTAGCCATTCTAGGTTAACCTGGTACGGACGGACGGATGGTTCAATTACTATATACCCTAGGGGCATAAAAAGGGGAATAACCCAGTAAAAACAATGCTAGAGTAATAGATCTTGGTCAGTGACCTACACTTCTCACATAGGAAAATTGTTGAATGCTTAAAATGAACAGGTTAAGTGAAAATAATAAAGTGCATCCATATTTTCACAACATGATTTAAACTTAAAGTCTTGATAATACAGGAAATTTTATATGCAAAAAGGGGAATAATTCAGTCAAAATCCATGCTAGAGTTATGGGTCTTAGATTATTATTTACAATTATGATTCTTAAGACATGTTTGAGAATAGAACAGAACACTTTAATTGATTAATGAGACTTGAAGTGGCACTCAAAAAACATAACTATTGTGTTATATTCCGGATAAGCAGCAAAGCCCCCATATTCTTCAAGTAGTTTACTTCAACTTAAATAATAAACTCTAGTTATTTCATAACTTTCCAAAATACACAAGAGAGGAAAATATTGAATGAGGTGGAATTGCCACAAGTTATGGATGTAGAAAATACCTATAGTAAAATGTTTCTGTCTGACACATTATCCAGGAATGCTGCATATTTTATTGATTAACATAGGTTATTAAGGTAAATATAAAATCAATTAAGACTGATTACCTACCTACCTAACATATAATTAGGTGAAACAAACGGTTACCTCTATTTATCTTTACTTAATGTAAATACTGGGTGATAGAATGAGGGCAAATTGGTGATAAATAGTATGTGTTCCATCTCTTTTTATTTCATACAAGTTATTATTATATAGTTTGGCATCAAAAAATCTGTATTTGTATGCATTCCAAAAAACAAAAATTCTTTTTTTTTATTTCTACAGCTTTACGGTACACCCCTCAATTTTCATGGTATTTTTTTATGAAAACTTCTCTAGTATTCTGAATTATAAAACAAGTTGTCAATAGTTCACAACGTAAAGTTAGCCTAAGGAATAAATTTATCCCCAGAATTAATGAAAACTTAAGTCCTTATTCCATTAATAACTTGTAGTTAGTAACTTGGTAGAAATATGCTTATTTTAGCAATAATTAGAATAATTACCAGAATTTTCCAAATGCATAGAAATGTGTAAATGGGCAGCTAAATATCACTGTAATTATGTAATTACATGGTAAACGTCTCGGACTACAATTATACCTGATAACTTACATTATCTAAATATGCTGCAAACTGTTCCAATGTTGATGTCAATATACTGTTCTCTGTTTCTAATGGAAATTTCTGTAATATAAACAAAATAGATATTGTATTACACCACACAAGGTCAAATAAATATATTCATTTCTCATGTAAGTTTCACATCATGTATTGTCTTCTGATCAGGGCCGGCTAAATCAATTGTCTGTATTGCCCAGGTTGTACGACAGCCTGTATGGGCAAGTGGAAATTTTCAATAATTTACTTTATAAATATTAATTTATACAGACAAGTTAAGAAATGCTTCAGATAAAATTGGACTAGTAAGTCAAAATCAGATTTTGCCAGCCCTGCTGATATAAAAAGGTCCCTCAAACAATCTATCCAGAGCAATGGAAAACAAAAATGATATGTGAAATTTGCAGGGTCTGTTTAACTAAGTCTATGTTACATGATACAGGAAAGGTTAGCATTCAAATTAAGTTTTCCTTATTTTCTTGGCATGTGGCCAGCAATGCTTTAAATGTACATGCACACATATTAATCAACAGAACAATTCTAGTTTTAATGTTTTGTTTGTTTAGATTTTTACAGCACGTCAACACATAACTGACCATATCGTGCCGAAACAATTCTAGAGTAAACCTACTTAAGTACATAAAAGTAGGCAATTAATGAAAGAACTGTTACAATTTTATTTTATATACAGTCTAAATGGGTAAAATCATTTCAATAATGGTTATACAATTAAATATAAACATACTTAATATTAAAATTTAAAGGGTATAAAGCTTTAACTGGTGAAATACACGTATAATATACATGTATTATATATAAAATCAATGTACATAATATATTTTCATATTCTTATAGTCATATCTGAAGCAAGTTTTAACAAAGTGTCTCTGTTTTTTAACCTGCATAAACTATAATATAGGGAACTGAATAATGTCCCTTAGAAACCAATTAACTGCTATTTCAAGTTGGTGTTATGATTATTTTTGCACCTGCACAACCTGCAAACTTCCAATTTAGGCACTTTGGTATGTTTTTCAAGAGAATATTTACAGGTATCTCAACTAATGACTCAACTATCGACTCCTAATTAAATTAGAGCTGTGTCCAAAGGACACGGATGCCCCCACTGACAACATATATATGGTATATAGTGAAAAAATCAACAAAGGGCCATAATTCTGTTAAATTTGGTCACAGAAAAAATACCCTCCTTTACTACCATTTACACATTAAGGTTGTTCATCCCTGGAAGTTTAAGCAAAATCTGCCATCCGGTTTAAGAGGTGTTGCGTTCACAAAATTTCTACTTAGTATATAGTGAAAAAATCAACAAAGGGCCATAATTCTGTTAAATTTGGTCGAAGCGAAAATTCCTTCCTTTACTACCATCTACACATTAAGGTTGCTCATCCCTGGAAGTTAAAGGAAAATCTGCTATCCGGTTTAAGAGGAGTTGTGTTCACAAGATTTTGGGACGGACGGATGGACAAGTGCAATGCTATATGCTCCCACTTTGTGGGGGTATAAAAATATTTGAAGAAAGATTCCATATTTTTCATTCATTACTACATAATGATAACATGCCATTATTTTCCCTGTCAACATTACTGGTTATTTCTTTTTCACAGCAATTTTTAGTTGTTTTTTTAAACCATTAGTGCAAATGGAAGATAATAAGGACCAATCATTTACCTGAGGTCGATAATAATTTAGGGTAAAACAGGTGAATGCCTGTAGAAGATAATTGTGATGAAAGGTTTACCTGAAGTTCATAATTCCTTAAATGTTGTGATAGGGATTGGGTAGCTGCACACAGCTCATTCTGTGCACTCATTACCCTCTGACAACAGTTGTGTAGTCCTACGCTGTATTTCTTCAACACCATTGCATCTTTCTCAAACACTGATAGAAGATTCCTTGTCTGAAATATAACATCTTTATTTTTATCTATATGAAAATATTTATCCTGTTAAAGTATGTATGTTAAAGTTTTGCTGCAAACCTCTAAATAAGCAAATAAAGTTTAAAGGGGCTCCACTGAGGTAAAAAAAGTATTAAAAAAATCAAGTGAAGCACTTAAAATAGAAAAAATCTGCAAAAGATAATAAAGAAATATTGTTCTTCTAAGAATTAAACTGAATATTATTTTTTGTGTGATTCTTAGATTGATTTGAATTAAAAGTGTTGCAACTTTTGGGCTATTTTGTACAATACAAATGATAATTCTGGAAATATAGTTAATGAAATGATCTGAAAATTTGAAAAATATTTCCAGTCCTGAATGCCAAAAAAGCTTGTCAAGTCCCCATTATTTGATATACAAGGTCAAATCTTCATCCACAGCCCAATAAAATCAAAGTTGATACAAATCATGATTGATAATTATTAAATAATAAGGTTTTAACCAGGGGCTTGCTTTGTGAAAGAATTAACAACTAATGGCTTTCTAAGGGGAAAATATACCTATTTTTGGGCTAGGGGAAATAGACTTTATTAAAATGTAAAATAGACTTTATTAAAATGTAAAGTATATTTATTTGCTACTTAAAGCAGACTGTTATATATTGATGACAATGGTAATTTCTAGTTATTCAATGTATGCTAACATATGTTTTATGTTGTTTTCTAAAATTTGAAATTTATATTATATAGTAACTGAAGGCCCTTATAAAATGTATAGTTTTTCAATGCATACTACCAAACTGAAAACACTTGTCTTTTTTAGCTAATAAAAAGAAATATATCTACAAGTAACTTTAAGATGATAAGGCACATGGTGCCATGAAGATACTAGAAGTGGGGTGAATCTTTACTGAACTGGGGAGAATTGTGATCAGTTTTATTTAATATCCACTCTATATACATAATACCACAATATACTTAATACATCTTATACCAATATAATAACAATTCCAGACACATCTGCAAAGCTTTAAGTTTAACTTCTGTTTCCGTCTCAAATGTTTACATTGCCTACCAGCAACTATTAAACCATTTTTTCTACAAGTATATTAATTTATAATTGCGTACCAGCAACTGTCAAACCATTGCAACAGGAGATTATGTTTTTTCTATGAGTATCTTCAAGTTTTATTTGCAATCCAGTCAACTCGTCCCGTGGTCAACTCGTCCCGTGGTCAACTCGTCACCTTTTTGGTCAACTCGTCCCCTACTTTTGGTCAACTCGTCCTCAAAGAGTCAACTCGTCCCTAATATGGTCAACTCGTCCCCTACTTTTGATCAACTCGTCACTATTATGTTATAAATCAATGTCTTTAAATAGTTCTTTTAAGTAAATTCTTAATGAATTTGATTAAAATCGAATTATTAATAAAATAACGTCTTTTTTACGTGCATTTTAATGTTCTTTATCTAAGCGCACGTGCATAGCTTTGATGTAAAACTACAAAGACAGGTAAGTTTGCAACATTTAATCAAGTACAACTAAAATGTTTAATTCATGGGAGTTTTAATGATAATTAAAATTAAAATCTTGTCCATCTCTTTGATATTTACCGCGTCCCTAAATGGATTAAAGACTCACGACAGATTAACAGAAATTAGGAGTGCTAAAAACTTCATGTCAGTGCGTATTTAATAAATAACCAAGTTGTCTGATAATGCATATATATACAGTTTGCTATTACATAAAGACCTCCAAATAAACGTTTTTGCATACGAAAAGTGTAAAAAATGTCCAATTCAATAATTTTATATAAAGTTTTTTAAAGTCTTTAATAATTTATGAAATATATGCAAAACAATAATAATAAAATATAGGGGACGAGTTGACCACGGGACGAGTTGTCCACGGGACGAGTTGACCAAAAAGGTGACAAGTTGACCACAGGACGAGTTGACCACGGGACGAGTTGACTCTGAATGGTTTTATTTTATATAGTCATGGAAATTAATACGTGGAAAATCCGAGCGGGGTCAAAGCCCCGCGAGGCTGTAGCGCTCTAAGATAACATGTATGACGTGTATCAGTTCAAATGAAATCAAATTAACTAAATGAAAATTTCAAAAAAATATATATCCTATACAGTGTTGTATCTAGGCCGCGCGATTTGCGTATTTTTAAGCGGTCGCGCATTTCAATGAAGTCAGTGCGCGCCAAGTCGCGCATCTGACAATCTTTTCAACTTAATTCAGTTTATCTTCATCGTATCTAAAAAATATCTCAAACACTTCAGCCATGTTTGTTTTCACTTGTGGTTATGACTAAAATACGTACTAAATCGCGTGTAGCAGCCGACTGAGTCATCTCGCGTGTGTTTTGTAGTATTCGTCAATATTTTATTTTTTCTACTTCCGTTTTTGAGCGGACAATAACTGTCAAAAATGCATGAACGGATAAAAAATAAATTCTTTGCGGTATGTCATACTGTAAGGTAAATGTATGTCCCCCACATTTTTTTCAAATCCCCCACATTTTTCAATTGAGTGGGGGACAATCCCTCATAATTTTGAAATTCTAGATGCAACACTGCTATACCTACTGAGCTGTGAAAAAATCCTTAGTTAACTGGGCGCCGCCATTATGAAATCCTTTTGAGCTAAATATAGATATCAGAGCGCTTTTAATGAGCGTCTACATAATTCAGACTATTGCTAGCAGACGCATGCTAAGTAACACTTCCGGTGAAAGAATGATGTACAAAATCAGAATATAAACCTGCATTTCATTGATAAGAATTAAAGTAACGATTATAAATATAAAAAGTTACTTTAAGATATCCTTTTTGATAAACTAACACATTAAAAATAACGTTAAAACAACAACTGTGATTAGAGATTAACAAAAATGGCAGACGGGATTTTCCAAACGCCGACGCATGCGCAGAGATCCCCCTTTACGTTCGGAGATTTTCGGAATATTCCGAGCGCTCCGATGATAGGTTGAACACCACCAATTTATTCGTTTTGTTTATGGTACAAAATACCTGTTTACATGTACACTAAATATGTAAGGCTAAAATCATAATTCATAAGAGCTTTCCGCGTCATTGGTAGCACCTAACAGGGCACTAGACAACTTTTGGGGACAGGTACCCATACCCTCAGAAAGGGGAATTTTGCGTCATTTTAAGACAAAAAGGGGAATTTTAAGTCATATATGAGTTCTTTAAATTTAGGTTTTACACTAACTCTTGGCACTATTTCCTACCATTACTTACAATAGCTAGTATAGTTTATTACTATAGACCTAACAAATAAACATATAACATGAAGTTGTTCTTGAAGTAGGCTATCTCACTGTTTTCTTTATTGTTTTCTTATTGCACTTTGACTGACTCAGACATCAATCAGAGGTCCAGATATATTTTTGGCCAAGGGTTAATATACCACTCAAATTCTAGAGTGAGGGGTAAACTGCAAATTCTGAAAAACATAAGGGTTATATTTAAAAGCTATAACAAGCATAATGCATTTTTTATGATAAAAAATTAAAACTGACAGTTGCTTTTGTTGTGGTTTTTTTTTTTTTTTTTAAACTTGTACAAAAAATTTGATTCAGTGCAACAAGCTCTGGAAAGGCAGATTTTCCTAGGCAAGGGTATGTTAACTTGTACCCAAGTTATGGAAACACAGCAAAATTATTTCCTATTATAGTCATTAATGTTTTCTTTATTTTTAATGTTAACAAGATATGTTTGTAAAACATGTATGCCCCCTATCAGCAGCCAATTAGTCATGTGATAAGGTTATTATGCATGACGTCTGACCCAGTGATCAAACAATTAATAAGGGTTATAAAGTATCTACTGGTCATGACCTTGACCTTTGACCCTTGACCCAAAACTCAATAGGGGTCATCTGCTGGTCACGACCAATCATCATACAAAGTTTGAAGTTCCTAGGCCTAGGCGTTTTTAGTAAATTGATCAGAAACTGTTTTTTACCTACAAGGTCAATGTGACCTTGACCTTTGACCCTTGACCCCAAAATCAATAGGGTCATCTGCTGGTCATGACCAATCACCATGCCAAGTTTGAAGTTCTTAGGCCTAAGGGTTCTCTTATTATTGATCGGAAACCGTTTTAACATACAAGGTCAATGTGACCTTGACCTTTGACCCAAAATCAATAGGGGTCATCTGCTGGTCATGACCAATCACCATGCCAAGTTTGAAGTTTCTAGGCCGAAGCGTTCTTTAGTTATTGATCAGAAACCGTTTTTACTTACAAGGTCATTGTTACCTTGACCTTTGACCCCTTGATCCCAAAATCAATAGGAGTAATCTGCTGGTCATGACAAATCACCATACCAAGTTTGAAGTTCCTAGGCCTAAGCTTTCTTGAGTTATTGATCAGAAACCGTTTTTACTTAAAAGGTCAATGTGACCTTGGCCTTTAACCCCAAAATCAATAGGGGTCATCTGCTGGTCATGACCAATCACCATGCCAAGTTTGAAGTTTCTAGGCCGAAGCGTTCTTTAGTTATTGATCAGAAACCGTTTTTACTTACAAGGTCATTATGACCTTGACCTTTGACCCCTTGATCCCAAAATCAATAGGAGTAATCTGCTGGTCATGACAAATCACCATACCAAGTTTGAAGTTCCTAGGCCTAAGCGTTCTTGAGTTATTGATCAGAAACCGTTTTTACTTAAAAGGTCAATGTGACCTTGACCTTTGACCTCTTCACCTAAAACTCAATAGGGGTCATCTGCTGGTCATGACCAATCATCACACAAAGTTTGAAGTTCCTAGGCCTAAGCGTTTTTAGTTAATTGATCGGAAACCGTTTTTACCTACAAGGTCAATGTGACCTTGACCTTTGACCCCTTGACCCCAAAATCAATAATTTATCTGCTGGTCATGACCAATCACCATACCAAGTTTGAAGTTCCTAGGCATAAGGGTTCTTAAGTTATTGATCCGAAAGCATTTTTACCTACAAGGTCAATGTGACCTT